TTTTCACATACTGCTGGTGAGGGGCAAACAACACAAGTCTTTTGGGAAGCAATTTAGTGAAATACAGCCCAAGCCTCTAACATACTCATCATACCCTTTGATCTGATAGTTCCACTCCTGAAAATCCAGCTTAAGAACACGGTCTAAAATAGAGAGAATGCTTTTTATGCAAAGAAGCTGTTGTTCCCTGCAGCCTTGTTCAAAATGGTAAAGGACTGGAAACTGCGTAAACACACCTAATTAGTTGCTGGATACATAACTTTATGGTTTATAAACATGGCAAAGAATGCAGACATTAAAAGTGTCTTTTTCTACTTTTAAAAATTACATATGTAATAGAGAAATACATTTCCATCATTTAAAAAAAAAAATTCAAATACAGCAAACAGTGTAAAAGGCAAAATCTTCCCTCCCCATCCCTGCCCTTGACGACTTTTCTTTCCCACCCCGATTCTAATCAGTCCCCTTCCCAGTGTGAGACACTATCTGGAGGTGGATGTGTTTCTCTCTAGACAGTTTTCTAGCCATTTATTTACACGTATATGCACACCTGCATGGTTAAGTTTTGTTTTCTTCTACTAAAATGGGATCACACCACCTGCATTACTGTGTGCTTCATTTAGTATTTCTAGGCAATCTTTTAAGGTCAGTACACATAGATTTACCTCATTCATTTTCAACCATTCCACAGAATTCCACAAGATGGATATGATTTACTTAAGCACTCACCATCTAATAAATATTGTTTCCTAATTTGTCACCATCACAAATAATGCTGCTGCTCTAAGAAAGACTCTTATACATGTGAATAAACATTCATAAGGTTTATAAAAACTGGCCAGGCATGGTGGCTCCCACATGAAATCCAAACATTTTGGGAGGCCAAGGCAGGTGGGTTACTTGAGCTCAGGACTTTGACACCAGCCCAGGCAACAGAGGGAGACCCTATCTCTACAAAAGTTAAAAAGAAAACTAGCTAGGCATGGTGGCACGCACCTGCAGTCCCAGCTACTTGGGAGGCTGAGTTGAGAGACTCCCTTGAACTCAGGAATTCGAGCTTGCAGTGAGCCATGACTGCATGCTGCATTCCAGCCTTGGCAACAGAGTAAGACCCTGTCTCAAAATAAAAAGGCAAGGGGTGTGGGGAATCTTTACATCCTAATAGTAACTAAGTTTCAACTACATAAAATATACACAGCAGAAAAGGACAGAAAACAAAACCAAAAAAAGTCCCCAAGATATTAACAGTAGTTGTTTCTCGGTAGTGGGATTATGATTTTTTTTCCTTAGTTTCTCTATGTTTTCCTGTATTTTCCAAATTCTCTCTAATGAACAAGTATTGCTTTATAATTGGAAGAGAGTAAAATTAATTTTTAAATAATAAGAATAATTATTATTCTATTATTTACGTGATGGGAGAGGGTATATTAGAAGGCTATTGAAAGAAGTACAGCAAATATCAGTTTATCTAGAATGCAGCTGTCAGAATTGGATGATGAATGAAGTAACTGAACTCGCAACAGCACTAATACACTTAACGAGGGATCGTGAGTAGGAGATAACCAGTTCCCGAGTGTGAAAGAATGGTGGTTACAACTAAAACAGCATGTTAGTAGACATGCTAAATCAGCTAGCAAATCCTAGAGAAGTGACAACATGCGTTCATGCAAAAACTTGCAGTGTTCACAGCAGCATTATTCATGTTAGCCAGAGTGGAAACTTCCCAGACATGGATGAACAAAATGTGTGTACTCACATATGGAATATCATTCAGCCATAAAAAGGAATGAAGGATGAACCTAAAGAATGCTACGGCATGTAAAAATAGCTAACGAAAGGCTACATATTGTATGATTCCATTTATATGAAGTGATTAGAATAAGTCAATCCATAGAGACTGAAAGCAGATTAGTGGCTGCGTACAGCCAGGAGGATCGAGAAGAAATGGGAAATGACAGTTTAGAGTGGGAAGTTTCTTTGGGGAATGATTAAAAAAAAGCTCTGAAATTAAATAGTGGTGATGGTTGCACAACTCTCTTAATAAACCAAAAGCCACAGAACTGTACCCTTGAAAAGGGTGAATTTTGTGGCATATGAATTACATCTGAATAACTCTGTTATTAAAAATAGCTGGTAACAATGAATTTAGTTTGTGGACATGCTAACTTAGTTGATAAAAAGTTTAGCTTGTAGTCTGCTATATATAAAAGGCTACAGAAAATTATTTTCAGTGACAAATTAACCAGGTGTAAACTTTCTTTCCTCCTATCCTGGTGATATCAAAGGAGAAACAATTAAAGAACATATCAATAATTTCCTCACTGGAAGTTAATCAAAACTGAGAAAGAGCAAAGGCAAAACTAAACTAAGACAACATAATCTAACTTGGATAAATGTCTTTTTTGATGAGAAGGACAGATTAAAAACTAAGATTACCAGGTGTAGTGGCTCATGTCTATAATCATAGCACTTTGAGAGGCTGAAGTGGGAGGATCACTTGAGCCTAGGAGTTCAAGAGCAGCCTGAGCAACATAGTGAGACCTCATCACTACAAAAAATTAAAACAAACAAAAACAAAACAAAACAAAAAAATAGTAGGGCATGGTGGCCTGCACCTGTGATCCCAGCTACTCGGAAGGTTGAGGTGGGAGAATCCAAGCCCAGGAGGTTGAGGCGGGAGAATCCAAGCCCAGGAGGTTGAGGCGGGAGAATCCAAGCCCAGGAGGTTGAGGCGGGAGAATCCAAGCCCAGGAGGTTGAAGCTGCGGTGAGCTGTGATTGTGCCACTGCACTCCAGCCTGGGTGACAGAATGAGACCCTAACTCGAAATAATAATAATAATAATAATTAAGATAATGGAGGCAGGCTCGGTGGCTTGAGTCTGTAATCCCAGCTACTCGGGAGGCTGAGGTGGAAGTGTTGCTTGAGCCCAGGAGTTCAAGATGATAGTGAGCCCTGACTGTGTCACTGAACCCCAACCTGGGCATTACAGAGAGACCCCCATCTCTGAAAGAGGAAAAGAAAAGAAAATAATTAAAAATTAAGATTATGGGTGAAATTTAGAAGCAATGAAGTATTTAACTACAGATGTTCCTGGGTGATGCACACATAACTTACGCAAATTCGGCCTCATGTGAACTGCTACACATAAGGCATGTAATCAAATTTGGCAAGTGGGAAACTCCGCATGGAAATGCAAAGTGAAGCACCCCAAGGCAGGTGGTTGAATGCCAAGAAGCAAAATCATGAAGTGCCCGTGGCTGCCAGCAGATGAAGACTTCAGTTGCGGGGCCAGCTCTCATCCCTCAGTGCTACTTCAGCATTATTTATGTTATCCTCTCCCCGCTCTCCTTTATGGAGCTCTGACGTTGATGAAGAAAGGACCAAGCAACAGTCAAGAGTGCAGAACCAATTCATAAGCCATGAACACTTTTTACATTTAAAGCAAAACTTTGCAGCCTCAAGGAAATCTGACCAAATCCTACCTTCCACTGCACTTGGACTTGATTTAACTACTTCCATAATGAAAATATTTTTGGAGAGCACTGATAAAAAGTGACACCAAGAGGTCCTGCCACATTCAAATCCACAAAGATCAAAAGAAGCCTGTCTCAAGTGCCATTTTGAAATGGGAAAGTCGATACCTGAAAAAGAATAAAACTAAAGACATTGGCACGAGTTTTAAAACTACGACACTTGTCTTGTCTTGCTGCACTTTAGGTCTTCAAGCAGACTTTCTAGACTTTACTGAATCATTACTCTAAGCAGCACACCGTCTTTAGTTTTATTCTTTTTCAGGTATTGACTTTCCCATTTCAAAATGGCACTTGAGCCAGGCTTCCTTTACTGCCGGGATAATGAAGGACCTACTGGCAAAGAGCACTCCTGCCACTCATGCCCATTTTCCCCTTCTTCCTTAATTACAGACCCCTGATTTTATTCAGGGTATCCTAGCTAAAAGACTACCTTTCCCAGCCTTCCCTAAGATAGTTATGACCCTACAACTATGTTCTGGCCAATGTGAACAGCCATTGGGTAGAATTTCTGGTAGGATTTAAAACCCTTTAGAGGGACATGGCCATTTGCCATTTTTTTCCTTTATATTCTCCTTTTCAGAGCCTGGAACTTGGATGTGATGGCTGCAGTGACAGCATCTATGTTGTTATTTTGAGGATGATAGCCTTGTACTAAGTTGCGCTAAGGATGACAGGGCCCATAAAGACAAAGAGCTTCAGTTCCTGATAACATCAGAAGAAGCCCTCAAAATAGGCCTGAACTGCCTACCTCTGGCTTTTTTTTAAGTTGGAGTCTTACTTACTCTGTTGCCCAGGCTAGAGTGCAGTGGTGCAATCATGGCTCACTGCAGGCTCGATCTCCCAGGCTCAAGCAATCCTCCTGCCTCAGCCTCCTAAGTAGCTGGTACTATAGGTATGCAATGTTATGCCTGGCTAATTTTTTAAAATTATTTTTGCAGGGGTGGGGTCTTGCTATGTTGCCTAGGCTGATCCTAAACTCCTGGGCTCAAGTGATTCTCCCACTTCAGCCTCCCAAAGTGCTGGGATCACACATGTTAGCCACTGTATCTGAGAGAATAAACCCTTATAACATGTGAGAGAATGTAATGTGAGAGATTAAACCCTTATGAACATGAATTTACAGTAGTTAGACTCCCTTTACCAGCAGCCAAATACAGTCCCTAACCTCTACAGACCTTGACCTCATTGGCAGAAGCTCCAGAAGCCACGCAGAGATACTCAGGGAGATGGGGTGACTCTGGGAAAGGAAGCAACTCATGGCACGTCCTCCCAAACTCCTCATCAGATTTTCCAGAATAATCCCAGAGGAGGTTAGAGAACATGCAATCAGATGATCAGAAGCCTGACTTATCAAAGTCTGGCAGAAAGAATAAGCCTGTGAAAGCAGGTGCCAGAGTGACCAGGTTAGGGACCCTGCCTGGCCTCCTCTATTGTAGCTGACCAGGAGAGGGACCCCTTTTTGTACCTCTTCCAGGTTGCAGAACTCCTGATGCAGGGCTGCCTTCAGGCCAGTGCATTCTCTCCCACATCTCAACGCTACCAGGCACTTCTTGGTTAAGTGTGGGACCTAATCAGAGGACACAGGTTCTCAGTGGAGAAGTCTTCAGAAACTTCACGTTCCTGCTCTGCCTGAACAGGCAGCAAAGCTTTGTAACTCCAGCCTAACAGGGCAACACCCACATACAGAACGCCCCCTCCCCCAAGCTCCCTGTGAGCAGCACTAGGTCATCTCTGTGGTTCCGCGAATCTACTTCTCAGTAGGAACGTACTTCTCATAGTACCCTGGGAAAACAGGGTGCTTTAGGAGGGTTTCTCCAGTGCTCTTTAGCTGCTTGCATGTTATACATTCTTAGGCGGGACACTCAACCTCTCTAAGCCTCAGTGTCCTCATTTGAAGAGTGGATAAAATAGCAGTACCCACTTCAAAGGGCAGTTGGATTAAATGAGTTAGCCCCTACAAAGTAATTAGGACAGTACCTGGCACATCATAAGTACTCGATATATGTCAGCTGTTAACATCATTGAGGTTTTTAAAAATTCCTTTTCAAAGACACCATCTTAAAATTTCTCCATTTTTTTTCATGATCAAAGCCACCACCATTTCTCTATTCTTCACATTTCCTGGACAGCAGACACTCTTACACTTCTAAAGAGCATCACTGGCCAGGTGCAGTGGCTCACATCTGTATTCCTAGCACTTTGGGAAGTCAAGGTAGGCAGACCACTTGAGGCCAGGAGTTCAAGACCAGCCTGGCCAATAAGGTGAAACCCCATCTCTACTAAAAATACAAAAATTAGCTGGGTGTGGTGGCATGCACCTGTAATCCTAGCTACTTAGGATGCTGAGGCAGTAGAATTGCTTAAACCCAGGAGGCAGAGGTTGCAGTGAGCGAGATTACACCACTGCACTCCAGCCTGGGTGACAGAGCAACACTCTGCCTCAAAAAAAAAAAAAAAAAAAAAGCATCACCTTCTATGCATAATCTTTACACTCCAGTACTTTTTACCCAAAGCCAGAGAAATACTCCCTTTAAGAATCACCAGTTTTCAGTTCTTTCTATATTCCTGCTTCAAGTCACACGGAGATTGCCATGTCATAACCACACCTCCTGAGATTGCCAGTTGAAATGGAGAAGCAGCTAACAGGTAGGCCTTTAACTTTACAATCAGTGGCCATACGCTACCCTAATTCCATGCTAGCTGATCTCCCGAGGCTTGCCTGGTATCAGAACAAAACAGTTACCAATGATTGGCTTTAAAATGGATTGAGGTTTGGGAAAAATATACAAAGTAAAATAGAGTGTGAGTGGATTTTTAAATTGAATATACCTTACAAAATAGCTCCAATAACATCTTTTGCCAAGCTCGTTGATAAGGGTCATATGGAAACAGCTTCCTTCCTGGATAAGCGTCATCCAGGTACTCACAAGCGATAACAGAGTCATAGATCAGTTGACATTGGCTGGTCTCCAGGACAGGAATTTGGCCAAAAGGGTGCTTTGTGTAGTACCATTCAGGCTTGTTTTTCAGGTTAATGTTGACCACTTCGTGTCTTAAAAAGCAAAAAGAAAACAAGACAGAACAAAAATGAGAGGCATCTGTAGGCAGGCACTCTTCCTGAAAGCAGAAGGATTAAGTTTAAAAGTTAAAATTTGCAATTAAGATTTTTAAAGTTTAAGGTTTGTATAAAATACATAACATCATCCTCTTCCTTCCTGCCAGTAAGATGTGTTGGATGTTTTCTATGCCTGGTCTCAGTTGTTCTACATAATTCCCCAAGAAGTAGGCTCACCTCATAGAAAAGAAGGCTCAAGGAGGTTGAATCTCACACCCAATACCACCCACTAAGAAGTAGCAGAACCAGCCAGGCACTGTGGCTCATGCCTATGATCCCAACACTTTGGGAAGCTGAGGCAGGCGGTTTACCTGAGGTCAGGAGTTCAAAATCAGCTTGGCCAACATGGTGAAACCCCGTCTCTACTAAAAAATACAAAAAAATTAGCTGGGCATGGTGGCGGGTGCCTGTAATCCCAGCTACTGTAGAGACTCAGGCAGAAGAATCACTTGAACCTGGGATGTGGATGTTGCAGTGAGCTGAGATCATGCCACTGCACTCCAGCCTGGGCAAGAGAGGCGCCATCTCAAAAGGAGAAAGAAGAAAGAAGGAGGAGGAGGAGGAGGGGGGGAGGGGGGGGGGGAGGAGGAGGAAGAGGAGGAGGAAGAGGAGGAGGAGGAGGGGGAGGGGGGGAAGGAGGAGGGGGGAGGGGGAGGAAGAGGAGGGGGGAGGGGGAGGAGGAGGATGAGAGGGAGTGAGAGAGGGAGGAGGAGGGGGAGGAGGAGGGGGAGCGGGGAGGAGGAGGGGGAGCGGGGAGGAGGAGGGGGAGGGGGAGAAGGAAGAGGAGGAGGAGGAGGAGGAATCACTGTCATCAAGTAGTAGAGCCAAAGTCAGAGCAAGACAGACAGACTCAGAGCTCATGCACTTAACAATGGCATGAGAGACTTTAGCACATTTTATAGCTTGAAAACATAGAATATGGCAAATATTAACAATTAAGAGCATGAGTTCTGACATCAGACTGGGCAGTCTAGTTTGGAACTTTAACCAAATTCCTAACCTCTCTGTGTTCAGTGTTCTTAGTTATAAAATGGGGCTAATAATTACACCCATTGGTGTACTGCTGTGATGATCAAGTAGGTGAATGTGTATGAAGTGTTGAGGACAGTGCCTAGCACATAAGCATGCAATAACTTTTTAATTCTTCTTCTAATTATTAGATGTTCAAATAATACCATTATTATTTAGATGTTCACATAATAATATCATTATTATTTAGGTAACTATAAAGTTACCAGAAGCATGAACATATGTTTAAAAAGACAAAAGGAGCTGGGTGTGGTGGCTCACGCCTGTTATCCCAGCACTTTGGGAGGCGCTGAGGCGGGCGGATCATTTGAAGTCAGGAGTTCAAGACCAGTCTGGTCAACATGGTGAAACCCTGTCTCTACTAAAAATACAAAAAAAATAAATAAATGAGCCGGGCATGGTGGCACCCGCCTGTAATCCCAGCTACTGGGGAGGGTGAGGCACAAGAATCACTTCAACCCGGGAGGTAGAGGTTGCAGTGAGCCAAGATCACACCACTGCACTCTAGCCTTGGTGACAGAGTGAGACTGTCTCAAAAAAGAAAAAAGAAGATGAAAGGAAACAAATGGGAACATTTGTTGCTTAGTCTAGGAGATTGTCTTAAAATCTAGAGCAGAGGCTGGACACAGTGACTCACACCTATAATCTCAGCACTTTGAGAGGCCAAGGTGGGAGGACTGCTTGAGCCCAAGAGCAATTGCTTGATCCCAGCGTAGGCCAAGGCCACATAGCAAGACCTAAAAAACCTAAAGCAGTAGGTCTCAACCAGAAGTGATTTTTGCCCTCCTTCCCCAAGGACATATCACAAAGTCTGGAGACATTGTTTTGTTGTCACAACTAGAGGTGGGGATAGGGAAGGGCGCCTCTACTGTCCTTGAATGGGTAGAGATCAAGGAGACTGCTAAATAACCAGTGATGCAAAGGGCAGCTTCTATCTCACCTCTCCAACAAAGAATTATCTGGCCCAAATTGTCAGCAGTGCCAAGGTTGAGAAACCCTGCCCTAAAGAAATGCATCAGCTCCTAAGCTGATAATTTATCATCAAATGGGAAAAACATCCAGTTGTTATTTTCTTCAAAAAACAAGTAACCTTGGGTCAACATAATTTGAGCAAAAGGGAAGAATCTGGAAATATATGCCCTACATACTCAACAAGTCAGTTTACATAATTTTATTTAAAACATCTCTTTATTAGTCTTTGTATTTCTCTGACATGAGTCTGAAACTCGGAAGTCACCCCCTTGTGACGGACTCTCCAAGACAAGGGTTGGGAGCCTGGAGTGACATATTCTCAACACTCTAGCTTGGAGGCCAGCTGTATTATACAGACCACATCCCAGAAAAGCTGCTCTGCCTTCCAAATCCAGACCTGCAGGAGCTAGTCTTGCAAACTTCCTTCTGGAAGAATATGAAACAATCTCTTGATAGCAATTCCTTCTACGTAATTGTTTGGAAAGATTTGTTCATTCATTTAACAGATATTTTTTAAGCACCCACTACGTGACAGGCTCTCTTCTAGCTCATGAATAAAAGAGACAGAGTTCCTACCCTCCCTCGAAAACTCACACGGGTGCAGGGAGCTGGGGAGGGGAGATGGAGGAACAAACAAGAAAATGTTGGATGCAGTAAGTTCAATAAAGGAAACAGAGGTACCTAAGATGTTTGAGGTGCGGTGGAGAACTACTTCCGTGGAGCAGTTCGGGGAGGCCTCAGCGGCCTTGGCTGTGCCCTTCCTAAATAAGCATTATGGGAGAAAAACAGTTCACCAACCCCTTCATTCAGTTTACTCTGTGCTGGCCTTGAAGTTTCATGCATAGGTGTGACTCACAGAAAAGGGCTCGCTAAAAAAAAGTCCACCCTTTGCTAATTATTTGTTGACACTGCCTCCGAAAAATAGGACAGGGAGCCCCTCTAAAATCTGAGCAGGGGGCCCCATATGTTAAACATTTCCGGGCTCCGTGAGGGCTGGGTTTGCTGGGGAAGAGATGGGCCTCTGGGTTCCCGCTTCTCACCTGATGCCTTTGGCTCGGAGGACGAGGCGGATCCTGTGAGAACAGGGGCAGAACCTCATGCTGTAGATGCGGATCAGGCCCTCTGGGACTGGCCCTGGGGGCTGGCTTCCTGCAGAGCAGCGGTGGAGGGTGACAGGGGAAGGAGAGGCTAGTCAGCCCGGTGGGGAAGGAGCTCACTCATTTGCCGGATCCCAGGATGGCTGTGCGAGCTCCAAGTCCCAGAGAGGGCACTGCTGCACGTGGCTTTTCTGCGGGGAGCTCTCCAAGTCCCTCCCTGCCCCGCTGGGCTGCAGGTCAAAGCCAAGCAGCTCCGCCAAAGCCAACATTCCCGGTCACGCGGCGCCCCCAGCTCGTGGACTCCAAGGAGAGGACTCACCTTTCCCCAAGGCCCTGGCCGCATTCTCAGGCAGGGTCTCCAGGCGTCTGAGCATCGCCCGGCGCTCACAGTCGCCACCCGGTGGCTGGCCACCGCTGCCGCGGGCTCCAGAATCGGCTGTGCTCTGGCGTGCCCCTCTTGTCCCAGATTCAGTTTTTGAACTACTGGGTTCTGGCGGGGCAGAGGGGAGGCGATCTGAAGCAGGAGCTAGGGTAATTTAGCCTGGGGAGACATCGCCCCAGATTTGGAAGCCAGGAAGTAGGAGCTGGCAAAAAAACAAAACAAAACAAAATAACACCTGAAAAGCTCCCCCCTTGCTTTGGACATGTGCTTAGAGATTTGGAGGACCCTCTTCCATATCAAGAATCCCTCAAGAGTGGGCATTTAAACTCCAACAGGAGTTTAAATCAAAATTGACTAGGATAACGCTTTTTCTTTCCCATTCTGAATCTCTTGCATCACTAAGACAATTAGCTGGCCACACTTCTGTAAATAAGCACAGCTTTAAAAAATAGTAAGGCTGGGCGCGGTGGCTCACGCCTGTAATCCTAGCACTTTGGGAGGCCAACGTGGGTGGATCACCTGAGGTCAGGAGTTCAAGACCAGCGTGGCCATCATGGTGAAACCCCATCTTAAAAAAAGAAAAAAAATAGTAAGGCCGAACATTCTCATGATACAGCAACTAAGAAAGAAAAAGTCATTGTTGTTGAAATATCACGTGCCCAGGAGAGTGAGTGCCTCCTAGACACCTAGACATCTTTGGTGTCTAGACACCTCACATTTTGCACCCTAGACACTTGACTTGCCTTATCCCACTCCTGGCCCTACTTGTGAGTTGTTACCCAAGCTCTGAAAAACTGGCAATGAATAAAATTAAGATACCTGGAGGCAAAGAACAATTTGTGAGCTCCCCCACTTCCCCAGCATAAATGTCTGAGAAAACTCTAGTTGCTAAGGATACACTGCCAACAGTCCAGCCATATAGGGGCCACTGGCACAGCTTTTCCATTTAAGTGAAATAATGGAGGTGGCTTTGGCACTGACGCTGATAAACCGAGATCCTGAATTTCAGCAGGTGAAAAAATAACTCCTTGAGTTTTCCAGGATTGAGCTGATGTGGAAATTGCTTGTAAATGCATTTTGTGGGATTAACAGGTCATGAAGGAAAGAAAAATATTTTATGTGTCTCACTCATACTGACTAAATTATTTCTGTAGATTACCTTGATTCCTACAACTGCTCAGTCAGGCAACTCATATTATTCCTACTTTTCAAAATAGAAAAGAGCTTCAGAAAAATAATATTATTTGCCCAAAATGACCAGCTAGAAAGGATGAAGAACTTTAAAAGTCCAAAGCCTGACTTGTCTTGGCCTTTAAAGCTGGTAACAGTGTTGGAAGGAAAGGATTTTAAGTCCAAAAAAAGATACAGCACATAATGGCTGCTCGACAAATGTTGAATCTAAATATCTTTTATTAAAATGACAGAACCTAATTATGTAGCTTATGAATAGGTGCTGTTTGGCCTTTGGAGTTCCAGTCTAACCAGAACTTCTTGGTTAATAATAATGTTAACATTTTTTGCTAGTGAATGAGAATTTTTGCAAATCTTCAGAATAGTGACTCAACTACATTTTTTTGCTGCCATTTAATGATTTCATGTGAAATAAGCTCAGATAATATGGAATGTACTGTCATTTTATAAGAATCAGGGAATGGCAAAAAATGTTTGAATAAATGTTCTCTGAAAACAAAATGCATATATGTCAGCAAGATATCTGGTGTTGGAGAAGACATGTCGGTTCCTGGCTTGCTAAGCTAACAACTTTTCATTTAGGAAGACAGAGAAAGTAATAGAGTAACTTCTACTACTTTCGAGCTAATTCTGATCAAGGACAAACTGGATGGTAAAATAGAAGCAAGAAACATAACCATGTCATGTTAGAGCTCCTGGTAGATAAAGAGATGATTTCTGGGCATACACATGTATCCCTCATATAAACAAAGCAGACTTCAAAACAGCTGACAAAAATATATCCATAGCCTAAAAAAGGATAAGAGGAATGCAAAATCTAAAAATCAAACTAAATTATTATGAATATGAATTTGGTGCTTCATGTGTAGTGACCCATTTAATTTTTAAAATAGTACCATAAGTATTCTATTTTGATTCACTTAAAAGATGAGTCAACTGAGACTAGGAAGGTTAAGCACATCTCAACTAGTAAGTGCAAAAGGGAGCATTAGGAACCCTGGAAGTTTAACTCCAGGGGCAACAATCTCAACCAGAATTTTAGTCTTTATCAGTTGCAATGAACTGAATGGTTGGCAAACATTTCTTCATATATTAAATATTTTAGATTTTTCAGGCCATCTAGTCTCAACCATTCAACTCTATACTTGTAGTATAAAAACAGCCATAGATTATAGTAAACAAATCGGTGCGGCCATTTTTATTTATGGACACACTGAATTTGAACTTCGTATATATATTTTAATAGCCTTTATTTTAAAAAGTTTCAGATTCACAGCAGAAAATAGAGATTTCCCATATACTCTGTGTCCCCACACAGCCACAGTCTCTTTCACTATCAATACCGCAATCAGAGAGGTACACTTATTACAATCAGTAAACCCATACTGACACATTATCACCCAGCATTCACAGTTAATATCAGGGCTCAGTCTTGGTAAATTTAATATAATTTTCACATATCACATTGTGACTGTTTTTTTTTTTTTCCCAACCATTTAAAAATGTAAAAATCATTCTTAGATCTTGAGCTACACAAAAACCAACAACTGGTTCGATTTAGCCCACTGGCCCTAGTTTGCCCATCCATGGTCTCTGAACAATGGCCAAACTGGGAATTCCATTTGTAAATTAAAAGGTTCCTGGATTTACCTTTCTACTTTGCCAGAAGAGGATGATTTTCCAAGTTTTGTTTCTTCATTCTTACCTTTTAAAAGAAACTAACTCTGAGAGTTGGGAAATGTGTATTAAAAGTGCATGAGGGAGACCAAGTTCTGAAGCACCAAGTTAATTTGGTAGAGTTAGAAGACTGGGATGGAAACCGTTCTCCTCTAAAGGCAAGCAATCTAGTGTCAAGGTTCTCAGAACAGGCTCTGGAGCCCAATGGACTGACTTTTTGAGACCTAGCTTTGGCACTTAGGCGGGCTATCTAACCTTTTTGACTTTCACTTTCCTCACCTGCAAAATGAGAACACCAATAATACCTACGTTATGAGCTGTTGTGAATATTGAATCAAAAAATCCAGGGCATCATTGGTACAGTAAGAGCTCAGTATATGTCAAAGTTAATGACAAACGCTAATTAGTAAGAATACACTTTTAATAGCAGAGTGCATTCCAATTTTGTTTCATAAAGGCGAAGCACACTGATTCAGTTAAGTTTAATGTCAATTGAATGGACTGAATGCTGCAGGCTATGTTTCAGTAATGTGGCTTTTACTCTTACCTCTGAACACTATACTTTCCCTAGAAAGAGTTTAATTATGACCTTTAAGCTTATCCCCACTTTCTTTTGAATACCCAGCAGGTACTTCTTTAAAATCCTCTTTGCAAACTTTCCTTCTATGTTATTTCATGTTTATACCTTTATTATGCTGACTCACTCAATCATGAAACAAATTGTAATTAGACCATAATAAACCTACTCCAAATCCATTTTCAGCCACCTGAAATATAATTGGATCTGTTCTGAAAATGTTTGGATCTTTGGTCATGAGTGATTAATGACTTAAGCCTTCTAGGAAAATAATGCCACCAAAGAAATAACTTACACTCTATTTACATGCATTTGAGAAGAGAATCTGTGGTTTGCATTTGGCAACTTTTCAAAATTTTTTGTCATGCCAGTCTCTTGATAGCAGAAACTGGAGTACATTTCTCTTAATATGTTAGAAGCCTAATTTATATGAAGGATTATATTACTGAGTGTTTATTGTTCAATGAGTTCAAAAAGTGATACAAGTTAGGAAAAAGATTCTATTCTCAAATGTGCCTATATTCAGGAGAAATTTCATACTACCAATAGGGAAATCAGGGTCAAACGAGACTTTTTAAGTATTAGATTCTGCTTCCTTATCCCTATTTCTGTTTACAACTTGGGGAATCAAAGAAAAAAAAACTTTTAAAATAAATATTTTGTACAATAACATTTAAATAAGGCAAATTGTCAAAATCCTGAAATCAGCAAAAGTAAAATAATTTGTAAAATCAAACACAACACATTGAGTTTGGAAAAAGAACATCAACTCCTGTTAAATCCCAGGAATAATGGTGTAGTCAAAAAGTTAGATATTATCCTCTTTGAGATCTGTTGGATAAAAAGAGACCGGGAACAATAGCACATGTAAATTCATCTCAAGAACGGTCTTACTAAGAGTTCAGGCTAGATTCTAATCTCTTCAACATTTATTAGCTGGGTGACCTTGGGCAAATGACAACAACTTTCCAGTGTTTTTATATGTAATTTGTAACAAATAGTGCCAGCATATTATGTGGTTTGCAAAGGCTTCCTTCAGAAACTGGATGAGAAATATTGAATGTTTAGCATGTGTCTATACCTAGGAGCGTTCAACATTAGCTATTACTATTTTCATGATTATTTGAATGTAGCAGGAAAGACTTTTCATAGTCTTCACAAAGACAGCACATTCCTGGAAACCAAATTCCCGTGCCTGCCAATGCGTTAAACACGTAGTGTAACTGAACTCATGGTGTTCCACGCAAGGCTGAGAACTGGTTACCTGGGGTGGTCTCCGCCTGCTTCCAGCCAAATCAGAAAAATAAGAACACTTTAAGTTAAAAGTATGCGGTTTAAAGACCTGTTCTTCATTCTTAGGTTGCACTTTTTTGGATGTGAAATTCTTTGATGCAACATTGGCCAAGGTTAAATGGGATTTCCCGTAGTCTTACACAAGTTAAAGTTGGCAATCCTATTGTGGGCCCTGAAATTCGTGTAAACCCCAAGAAACAGAATTGACCTCAAACCCCTCTTCCCTTCAAATACAATGCAGGCCGAACGGACCCACCCGGTGGCGGTGAGAGCTGTCCCGCGAGGGACCTCCGGGAACGCACAAGACCAGACCGGGATTGACGACGGCAGCAGCAAGCAGGCGGGGCCTATAAAGGCCCGCCCCTTGTACGTGATCCTACCCGCCAACTAGCCGCGGCGCCCGGAGCGTCAGCCAATCCCCAAAGCTTTGGAAACGTTTGCCAAGTAGAGCTGCTCAGCCAATGGGCGGCCGCGTTACAGGCTGCTAGAGATCGGGATTCGCGGGTCCCGCCGGCGCTGGTGGATGGCGAAAGAGGAAGCCCGTAGTGGTTGGCTGTGGGACACCGACACCCGGCTCCGCACCAGAGTGGAAATCCGCCGGAAGCAACCCGCGCCTAGCGGCTCCATAAGGCGTGCGGCTGCAGAGGCGGGGCAGCCGGGGCGTTGGTGGCCCCTGAAGGTAGGCGGCAAGAGGCCTTTGTGAAGTCAAGCGGCTCTAGGTCACCTTCCGGGTGCGGCTCCTACACCGCCTGCATCACCTGGGGAGGGGATGGGGGGCCGTTTCGAATAGATTTCGCGGCCCGCCCCAGCCTGATGAAGCGGAAATGCAGCGGTAAGCCATAGGTGATTATGCACCCTTAAATGTAAGAATTCGTCATTCGGAAGTTTCTCTCAGTGGCGAACTTGCTAATAAGTCCAGGCAACCAGACAATTGGGGCGGACCCACAGCCCTGATTTCGATGGTAAGAGCAGTGCGCTGGGTGTGATCTTTCTGCCAGCACCTTAAGGCCTCACTTAACCTCTGGACCTTAGTTGCATCATCTGTAGAATGAAATGATGCTCTCCGACCTACCTTCTCGTGGTGGTGATGTAATGATAAAAATGAAATAGCGAGAAACCCAGCGGCCTATGGAAATGTATGGAAGATGGCATTAATATTTCCAAGTGGGAAATATTACTCATCAACCTTATAGGCGGAATTGACTGATGCGACCTCCAGTATTTAATTACACAAATGGGACACCACACCTAAGTGCTCAGCATGGGATTTGATAGGAAGGATATGAAGGGGTTAGAGACTGGGAGACCAAATAGGAGTCTGCCCAATCACCCAGCTTTGGGGTAATGTAGGTCTGGCCTTCAGTGGCAACAATAGAGAAAGTGTGAAATTAAGTTGATGATAGAAATGAAAGAAGGAATTGAAAGTTTCTCAACTAAGAAACCAGAAGACAAGAAACGAGAGAGCATCTGTTGAAATCACAACAGGGTAACCAGGTGAAAATTTCCTGTGAGCAGTTAGAAAGTTAGATTGAAGTACAGATTTTGCTAGAGATAATTTGGGGGTTTTCAGCATGGACTATGATAGAACCCTCAGAGTCGTTTTAGCATCCTAACACAGGAAATGTGTTTCCATTTCTGTTGGGGGGGCCTTGAGACCCCCCAGTTAGGCCACTGATGTCAAATCAGTTAGAGAAGATGATCCCATGCAACCTAAGCCTTTGGTAAAATAAAAGCATGTTATTATTCACATTAGTGAAAGAAAACATCAGACACAGCTTTATTGCTGACCCCTGCCCCCTTCAGAGCCCATAATCACAGGCCTCAGGGCTGTTCTGTAAGTACAGCTCTAGGAAACCTTGCCAGTCCTTCACACTAGTGAGCAGGGCTGAGACTGTGGGATCTTCCTTCATGGCTGCCATCCACAGTTTAAGTTTTGGAGTGTGATCTACACACCTGTGGGAAGAGGAAAAAATGAAAGGCATGAGCTAAGTCAACTAGGATGACATCACAAAGTCTCCCATTTATTACTCTGCAATGTCATTTTTTTCCCTTAAATATTTCTTTTAAAATATTTTAAAATGCATGTAATCATAGAATATTCAATTTGAAAGACATTGTAAAGGTCCCTTTTTTATACATTTGGAATGAGACTAAAGTGAAGCGACTTGTCCAGTTAATGTGAGAACTTGCTCAAAGGGAGAAAGTGACAACTTATTAAAATGAGATCAGGAATGTTCTTTGTTAATTTTACACCCAGATTATGACCAAAAGTAACCCTGAATAGTTCTAATGTCCAAGAAGTGGGAGTAAGGCAAGGTGTCTGCTAAACTCAAACCCGAATTTGGAAAATAATGTAGAGAGCTTACTGGTAAATGGGAGGTAACACTGGTCACACAGTCCTGCAACAACATCCTTATAAAAGTTTACAATCTTATGGATTTTTTTTTTTTTTTTTTGAGACAGAGTCTTGCTCTGTTGCCTAGGCTGGAGTACAGTGACACAATCTCAGCTCACTGCAGCCTCCGTCTCCCGGGTTCAAGTGATTCTCCTGCCTCAGCTTCCTGAGTAGCTGAGATTACAAGCACTCCCCACCATGCCCAGCTAATTTTTGCATTTTTAGTAGAGATGGGGTTTTACCACATTGGTCAGGCTGGTCTCTAACTCCTGACCTCAGATGATCCCCCCCACCTCAACTTCCCAAAGTACTGGGCTTACAGGCATGAGCCACCGCACCCTTCCCCTTAAAGGATTTTTAATCAGGAAGGAAGGAGTAAATTTTAAAGCCCTTTGCTACATGTCACAGAAATCCCTTGCCTCCTCCCAGTGATGGAGAATAGTTAGTGCAGGTGTATGACATGCCCTGGGTAGTCCAAGACTGTCCTGTCTGCTTGTTCTCATTCTGACCAGTTGTATTAAATATTTTAACGTTTGTTAAATAAAGGAAAGGTCAATATATACTATTCTAACTATCATCCTAAATTATGCACAAAATATTCAAATATCTTACTCATTTAACTTCATTGCTTCCAGCCGTTCAAACCAGGGCCAGATGAGGTAATCAATCATCGAGATAGAACTGCCACCAAAGAAGGTTGTCTTCTTATTAGTCAGAACCTGAACATTAAACAGCACAAAAGTATTTATTATTTGTGCATGTACTAAGACCCACTAGAAATTCTGAAGGGAAATTAAGTAGAGCAGGTGAGAGAAGCAGTTTTTACTCTGATAAATATCCAAGTTGGGTTTTTATCCATTTGATCCAAAAGCTTAATTAAGCTTTAGAATCTGTTGGTCTGGGATGAGGCAGAACAACAACATAAACTGGAAAATTGAGAAAAATGAAACAAGTCAGAGTCCAAAATATTTGTAATACAAAGGACTGGTATTCAGAATATAGAAAGGATTCCTGGGAATCATTAAGAAAAATGGCAAACAACCCTTTAGAAAAATGAGCAAGACTTGATCTTCACCAAAGATGCCCGAATGGCCAATAATCATTTGAAAAGGTGTTCAACTGCATTAGTCATTAGAGAAATGCAAATTAAAACCAAAATGCAATAACACTGTACATCCATGAGAATGGCTAAAATGAACAAAGTTGGCAAGAGTTTGGAACCACTGTGGTAGAGGTGTAAATTGGTACAATCATGCTTTAAGAGTATGCATACTCTATAACCCAGCAATTCTACTTGGAAATGTAACACATGTTCACCAAAAGATAGGTATGTGAATGCTCACTGCAGCACTATTTGTAATAGCCCGAATGTGAAAATGTTTACTATCAAGAGTAGAATAGGTAAACTGTAGTATACTACATTTTGGAACACTGCAGAAAGAATAGGGAAAAGCTACACACAGCATAGATGAACCTCGCAAACCTAATACTGCATGAAAGCAGGCAGACCCAAAAGATGAATATTATATGAGTCCATTTGTATAAAGTACAAAAAAGCCCAAACTAATATTTTATTAGCTGATGAGGGTGCTGGTTCCATGACTGTGTTCACTTTGTGAAAATGTGTTATGTTCTTATGCTTTGGGCACTTCTCTGCATTAAAAATTGCAAAATATTAATTTTTCAATATAAATGCACAGTCTCCAGCTTATGATCATTCAACTTAAATTTTTTCAACTTTATGATGGTACAAAGGCAATAAGCATTCAGTAGAAACTGTACTCTGAACTTCAAATTTTGCTTTTTTCCTGGGCTGTATTTGCAGTATGAAACTCTGGGTTTTTTTTTGAGACAGAGTCTTGCTCCATCACCAGGCTCCAGGCTTGAGTGCAGTGACGCTGTCTTGGCTCACTGCAACCTCTGCCTCCCGGGTTCAAGCAATTCTCCTGCCTCAGCCTCCCGAGTAGCTGGAACTACAGGGGCATGCCACCATACCTAGCTAATTTTTGTATTTTTAGTAGAGACACGGTTTCACCATGTTGGCCAGGATGGTCTCGATCTCTTAACCTCGTGATCCGCCCGCCTTGGCCTCCCAAAGTGCTGGGGTTACAGGCGTGAGCCACTGTGCCCGGTTGCAGTATGATACTCTTGATGCTGGGCAGCCACACCATCAGGAGAGTAAACAACCAATCTCTGTGTACTGTGTTGTCAGCATTTTTTGGATACAGGTATTAAATAAATTGAGATATTCAACACACTATGAATAGGTTTTATGTTTCACAATTTTGTCTGATTGCAGGCTAATGGAAGTTTTCTGAGCACATCTAAAGCAGGCTAGGCTAAGCTATGATGCCCTGTAGGTTGGGATTATTAAATGCATTTTCTACTTAGGATATTTATTGGATGTAACTCCATTTTAAGTGCAGAAGCATTTGTACTTAAAATATACTGGAAATAGACTGAATTAACTGCTAAACAGATGACAATCATTTGAAAACCCAATAAATTGTATGTTTGAAAATTTTAAGAAGGCGAATTGGTTAAAGAGTTTGCCAAGGGGGCGATTGAGAATATTATCTGGCTATTTAAACCAACACCAAACTAATTTGCCCTTTATAAATAACCTCCATAGTTTTTCTCAATGCATAATATGCATTTTAGATTGCTTACATCTACCTATTGTGTTCTGTGTACAACTAAACTAATTATCTGAAGAATATAGACTGCATCTTACTTTCCAGCTCCTACACTGTTCAGCAGAAAGATATGTAAAACCAGAAAACCAATTACCATTAAAGAAATCAAGCTAGTAATGAAAAATCTACCCCTGTTAAAGACACCAGACTCAAATGTTTTATAGAAACTGCCAGTCCCTAACAAATGTTTTCAGAGATTAGAAAAACAGGTTAGTTACCCAACTCATCTTATGAAGTTAGAATATCCTTGATACCAAAACCCAATAATGATACTATAAGAATAGAAAATTATAGACCAATCTCATTTATGAACATACATACAAAAATCATTTAACTATTAGCTAATTGTACAGTACATATAAAAATTCATAGAGAACAAGTAGGTTTTATCTTAGGAATGCTAGGATGGCTAAACATTAAAAAAATCTGTCAATAGCACCATATTCACCCGATTAAGAGGAAAAATATTCTATGTACATTTCAATAGATGTAACAGATGCAGAAAAAGCATTCAATAAAATTCAACATTTAAAAAATTAGCAAACTAGTAATAGAAGAGAACTTTAGAATGAAAAAAAGGTTTCTGAAAAACCTACAGCAAATGTCATACTTACTGATAAAATGTTAAAATGCATTCCCATAAAAGACAGGAACTATGTCTCTGTCAGTAAAAACTTTAGGTTTAGCATGAATGAAATGTCTCAAGGCCAAGAGGCAGACTCCAAGGCCCAAATGTCAGCTTTACCCAGAAAGAGGTAAAATGCATCTGGGTTTCCCCCAAGTGTCTGTACTGTTCATTGCAAACTTTTTCTTGTAGGAAATATTTAGTATATAATACTAAGTTGAAAAACAGGACACCGAATGATATCTATGCTCTGATTAGAGCTACATTAATTTTTTTTTAAATATACGGACAAGGACTGCAAACAAGCATGGAAAACTGGATACATGAAAACTTGTGGAAATGTGGGTACAATTTTCCTTTTCCCTGTTATTTTAATGTTAACACAGCAAAATATTTTAAAAGCAAGCCCATGACAAAGTATTTTTAGGTGTTTTGATTTATATCTTAAGCAAAACAGCTTTCTGCTTTATAACAGCAGTCTGTTGTAAACAAAAATCTTTATGGGAATTTTTCTAATTGCCATAAAGTGGCTTGGGAAGTGAGAGTATGCAGAAAAGAATAGGAGGAAAAGAAGGGTAGACATAGTCATCGTTTACTCTGATGATAGGAGAAATGATTACCTTCTCCAGCTTGCTAAATTCTTTACGAAATTCTTCTTTTAGGCCAGCACAGTCTTCCTTATTTTGGCTTCTAATAAAGCTTCCTACCAAGGATGGCACCTAGACAGAGAATAATTTCTTAGTTAATCAGTTTACATCTAACTTATATTGGCCTCCTCACATAAAAACATGATAGAACCCTCATAGTCCTGGTATCAAGGTGTTCTAGAAACATCAAGGGTGCACCAAGTTCCTGTGCTCACAGAGGAAATGGACTGGTCTTAGGAACAGTTTTGTGGGTTGGTCAGGATTTTATAAATCACAAATAACAGAACCTACTTTGGCACGTTTAAGAGACACTCTTTTTTTTGAGACAGTCTTGCTCTGTCTTCCAGGCTCAATCTAAGCTAACTGCAACCTCCACTGCTAGGGCTCAAGTGATTCTCCTGTCTCCACCTCCTTAGTAGCTGGGATTACAGGCATGTGCCACCAAACACAGCTAATTTTTATATTTTTAGTAGAGATGTGGTTTCACCATATTGGCCAGGCTGGTCTCGAACTCCTGACTTCAGGTGATCCTTCTGCCTCAGCCTCCCAAATTGCTGGGATTACAGGCTTGAGCCACCACACCCGGCCAACACAGCTTTCTTTAAAGGAGATTGAGTGGCTCATAGAATTATTGGGAGGCTGAACAAACAGGCTTGGAATTAAGACAGAACATCCCAAAATCATGCTGAGAACTGGGCGACTGGGAAGTGCCCACTGCTGTCAGTGCAGCTGAGCACTAGTTGCCTCAGTTTGTATGGCTGCCAGAAAATGGAGTCTGAAGTAACTGCCATTTCTACTCTGGAATTGTATCTTGTAACCAACACTGCTAAAACCCAGAAGCACTGTCACCACTCTCACCTGCAGAACCAGTGGAGAGCTGAGTATCTTTTTTTTTTTTTTGAGACGGAGTTTCGCTCTTGTTACCCAGGCTGGAGTGTAATGGCGCGATCTCGGCTCACCGCAACCTCCACTTCCTGAGTTCAAACAATTCTCCTGCCTCAGCCTCCCGAGTAGCTGGGATTACAGGAACGCGCCACCATGCCCGGCTAATTTTTTGTATTTTTAGTAGAGACGGGGTTTCACCATGTTGACCAGGATGATCTCGATCTCTTGACCTCGTGATCCACCCGCCTCGGCCTCCCAAAGTGCTGGGATTACAGGCTTGAGCCACCGCGCTCAGCCCTAAGTATCTTAAACAGATATCCCACCAAGCCTGTTTCCTCACCTTGCTAGTTTCTGAATTGAACTCCATGGTGTATGTCTGACAGGAATAGCCTAGGTCACAAAACTTGGCCCCCACTGCAAAGAGCTAGGGAAGAGAATTTTTCTGATTTCTATGTTGGGGAGGATGTCAAGAGGCTGTTAAAAAGGACTAGCTACCTAAAGAACTGACGGGTGTAGCAGCAGATGCTTTAATGCTCATGATGGTGTTTATGTGTTTTAATACTTCAGTCTTTGGTGTCATTTCATTGCAAGACACGGAAGTCCACACTCATCCTAGTTTAGGTAAACGGACACTTGTAAAAATACAGAATCCCGTGAATTCCCATCCACATCAGTTCGGCCTGCCTTCACTGGGACTGAAGGCTTTCAGGCAGCCGTTTCGTTCACATTTCCATCTGGGCCTACCTGGTATTTCATTTGTTTTTCCTTAAATTTCTGCTCCGTATTACTTTCCATACTTCAGTCCCTTTGCAATGCTTTTAATTTTTGCTCTTCTAAAAATTTATTTCTTAAGTGGCTTTGATTTTTCTAGCCTCTAATGTATGTCTTTACTGTCCTAACCTTTACTGTCTTAGTGTCTGTGTCTCATTTCCAAGTTCCCAGGAGAGGAGATGACTGGCCCAGGTGTGGGGGTGGGGTACATTTCTGTTCTGATGGGCTGTGGCCAGGAGAGCAGGGTCATGTGTACATAAGGCCACCGCTCCTTTAAAAGTGAGCAGGGAACTAAAGGTGGGCATCTTCAGCATTACTTTTAAAGCTCAGTTTCTTTCTAGATAGTACAATGAATCTCTTGGGACTGCTTTTTAAAATAGTAACTTTATGCATGAAAGTAAAGCTTCATGCCTAAAAGCTTTCAAAGTTATCCCTTTTCTCTCTTCTCCTGACACTTTATATTCCAGCCATACTAAAAACAGTTTTCCAGAACTGGCACCAGACTAAAGGGATCTTTCTTAAAGAACCACTCAGGCTTACTTTTTTGGTTGATACTGATGACTTTGTGTCTTGAAGCTTCATGCTTTAACTTGTTACTACATTGTAAAACTCTCCTACATCCTTCTTGAAAACATCATGTTCCCTTTACATTATCTTTGACAGCAGCCACCTCTAGTATTCTTTCACCCTCATCTTACTAGGCAGGTGACTCACTCTTCCTTTCTCATTGGTTTCCCTTTATAATGTCTTCTAAAACAGAATGTTCTCCCTATAACTCTCTCTTTGGGTATTTCTTTAACCATCTCTTTCTCTAAAGCTAGTTCTTAATACACTGCCCATACTACCAAGGTGACAATATTATAGGCATATAACTAGACATGCTATTTTTGGTGTCTAAATACATATCTGTTAGTCATTTCTTTGTTAATACTAATTGTTTAATCCATAACATTGATGCTAATTAAGGTACAAACAGTTCTACAGGAATGCCATTTATTCAGTCATCTGAGTTATTGCCAACACGAAGTAGATGCTCACTGCTAGACACTGTGGCTATAAGGACAAGAACTAAGTAACTGCCGTGTATCATACTCCACTCTAGGTGTTTTTATTAACTGATTTTTATCTTACGAGGTGGAAACAATTACTATATCCATTTTATCAATGATAAACTGAGGCATAGAGAGGCAAAGTAATAAGTAACTTGCTCAGAGTCACAAGAGTAGCAGAGCCAGTCACAAAACTAGGCAATGAACCAACAATGATCAAAACAGCCCTCACACTCAAAGAACTCACAGCCCAGTGCAGTACAGAGGCAAGAAGGCAGGCAAAAATTCAGACGGATGGGAACTCAGAAGCTAGAGCACTAACTAGCCTGGACAAGCTCCTGAAAGGCAGCAGTGTCCGAGCAGACACTTGAAAAATAACATGGAGATAACCAAGCACAGTGAAAAGAGGGAAGAATCTTACAGCAAGAGTTGAGAGAGAAAGGGGTGAATTTGGGAATTCTGAAAAAAAGTTTAGTATGGCTAGAATATATAAAGTGTCAGGAGATGAGTGAAAAGGGATCACTTTGGAGGTAAACAGGAACTGGATTGTCAAAGGACTTGCAGGACATGTCAGAGCTGACAAGCATATTCCTTTTTGTGTTTCTCTCCCAAATCACTGAATCATAAATGACAGCATTGATTTAGCTTTAAAAAACAGGTTTTCAAATAGGAGCTGAAAGTTCTTATGCACAAACCTTAGAAAACAACTCGAAGACCATCTTCTGGCAAGCTTTCTCATAGGGGTCATCAGGAAACAGCTTCTTCCCTGGGTATGCTTCATCCAGGTACTCACAAGTGATGGCAGACTCGTAGATCAGCTGACCCTGACTGTTTTCCAAAACTGGCACCAGACCAAAGGGATTTTTCTTAAAGAACCACTCAGGCTTATTTTTCAGGTTGATATTGATGACTTCATGCCTGAAAGAGACACAGGAGACTGAAGAGAAGGAAACAACTTTTGTGCTTTTGGATAAATACTCACTGGCTTTGCTATCCAGTTAGCTGATTAGACCCCAAATTTAGGAGTCTGCCTAGATTCCTTCCATTCTAATTTTTGATTTTATGAATTTGACTACTTTTGATACACCTTATAAGTACAATCATGCAGTATTTGTCTTTCTGTGCCTAGCTTATACTTAGCATAATGTCCTAGTTAGCAAGGTCCATCTGTTATCACATATTGCAGAATTCCTTCCTTTTTAGGTGGAATAGAATTACCACATTTTCTTTATCCATTCATATGTTGATGGACATTGACATTATGCTGTCATGAACCACTGTTCATGAGTGCCAGTATCTCTTTGAGAACCTGATTTCAATTACTTTGGATATATACCCAGTAGTGAGATTGCTGAATCATATGGTAGTTCTTTTTTTAACTTTTTGAAGAACATCTATACTGTTTTCCATGGCAGCTATACCATTTTACATTCCCACCAACAGTGTGCAAGTGTTCTGATTTCTACACATCCTTGCTAACTCTTTTTGAATTATAGACATCTTGACAAGTGTGAGGTTATTACATGACTTTGATTTGCATTTTCATGATGATTAGTGATAAGCATTTTTTTATATATCTGCTGCCCATTTTCATGTCCTCTTTGAATAAATATCTATTTTTTTATTTTTAATTTTTTTTTGACACTCTGTCTCCCAGGCTGGAGTGCAGTGGATTGATCACAGCTCATTGCAGCCTCAACCTCCTGTGCTCAAGCGATCCTGCTACCTATCAAGTAGTTGGGATCACAGGCATGCGCCACCACGCCCAGCTAATTTTTTTGTAAAGACAGGATTCTGCCATGTTGCCAAGACTGGTCTTGAACTCTGGGGCTCAAGTTATCTGCCTGCCTCGGCCTCCTATAGTGCTGGGTTATAGGCATGAGCTACCATGTCCAGCCTGAGAAATGTTTATTTAATATCTTAGCCCATGTTAAAATCAGAGTTTTTTTTTCTGTTGTTGTTGAGTTGTAAAGATTCCTTATGTATTTTGGAGATTAACCCCTTACCAGATATGTGGTTTGCAAGTACTTTTTCCTATTCCATAGGTTGCTTTTGCTCTGTTACACGTTTCTTTTGTTGTATGGAAGCCTTTTTGTTTAATGTTGTGTTTACTTTTGGTTTTGTTGCCTGGGCTTTGGTGTCATGTCCAGGAAATCATCGCCAAGGTCAATGTCATAAAGCTTTTCCCCGACGTTTTCTTCTACACATTGGCCTTTTTTATATTCCTTGAATTTGCCAATGTGTTTCCACCTTAGAGTCTTTGCACTTGATGGTCCTCTGCCTGTCTTTTCCCAGGTCTTTCCAGGTCAAACACATCTCTAGGCCGTCCCTGACCACAGCTCTGAAGTTGCTGAGCAGCTTCTGTTACATGATTATCATGTTTTCCTTTCTTTATTGAACTGATAATATGTATTGAAATTATTTTGCTCACTTATTTACAAGTTTACTACATTATCTTCCTAGAATGTAAGCTCCACAAAAGGTGGATAATGTGTATCCAGACATGTAAATGAGCAAAATGCTAAATAGATATAAATGCTATGAAGAAAATAAAGTTTCAGACAAGGACTCTCTGTTTTTTTTTTTTTTGAGACAGAGTTTCGCTCTTGTTACCCAGGCTGGAGTGCAATGGCGCGATCTTGGCTCACCGCAACCTTCGCCTCCTGGGTTCAGGCAATTCTCCTGCCTCAGCCTCCTGAGTAGCTGGGATTACAGACACGCGCCACCATGCCCAGCTAATTTTTTGTATTTTTAGTAGAGACGGGGTTTCACCATGTTGACCGGGATGGTCTCGATCTCTTGACCTCGTGATCCACCCGCCTCAGCCTCCCAAAGTGCTGGGATTACAGGCTTGAGCCACCGTGCCCGGCCAATAGGACTCTATATTTTTGTATCGAAATATTTCATATGAATAATTTTTGTGCAAATGCTTTAAAATTGTCAATAAGACACTCCATTTATGGCCAAGAGGTGTCTTAGTTATAAATCATACAAGGCAACTAATTGAATTGCGTCCACTACCCACTATATGAGAACCAACATAAAATTCAGGTTTTTTTTGCTAATTGGAATAAAAAGTTTCTTGCTTTCTATGAGGATATTAAGGAATCCTTAAAATCCACCCACAAGGCCAGGCATGGTAGCTCACACCTGTAATCCCAGCACTTGGGAGGCTGAAGTGAGTGGACTGCTTGAACCCAGGAGTTCAAGGTCAGCCTGGGCAACATGATGAAACCCTATCTCTACGAAAAATACAAAAATTAGCCAGGTGTGATGGCACACGCCTGTAGTCCCAGCTACTCAGGATGCTGAGGTGGGAGGATCACTTGAGCCCAGGAGGCAGAAGTTGTAGTGAGCCATGTCTGCACCACTACACTCCAGCCTGGGTGACAGAGTGAGACCCTGTCTTGGAAAAAAAAAAAAAAAATCCACACACAAAATAAGCTTTCAGATTAAAACTCCATGGACTGATTTTTTTTTTAATGTTGTCTAAGTAAATGATACAAAGTAAACCAAAAAGGAAGAAAACAGGTGAAATCCAGGCTATGGTCAGATTGTATTTAGGTCTATCTTGGATGTTGCCTGAGACTGTAGAGGAACTAAGTGAAAGGAGCCAGGTCCATATGACCGTCAAGGCTGAATAAATGTTCAACAAAACAGATTACTAAAAAATAATAGACACCAATTCCTTTTGTTTTCTATTTTCCCACCCACAGCTGTAGCTAGATGGGGAAAATGTCTATTTAAGGATCTAAATATCCTTTGAGGATTTAAATACATTCTCCATGAAAACAAAAGAACATCTAGTTTGAACATGAACGCAGGGGTGTGTGTAATTTAAAAGGTTCATGTGCTGACAGAATGAACACTGAACACTTAGGTACCAACCATTGTAAAAAAAAAAAAAATTCTTTGGCTCCTTGCCCAAGAATTATCAACATTTTTGAACATTTATACTATGAAAACAAAAGGCAGATCCTGGGCTTTTGTGATTTTTTTTTTTTTTTTAAAGTAGCTCAGAACACACATGCATTTTGGTAACCTGGCATTGTGAGCCAACAAGTCTATACAACTGCCACAGCAAGTTGGAAGATTAATCTTTTAGAGAAAACCATGCTTTGTTAAGTCATGTCATGTGGTTAGAATCCAGTACTTTACCAATAAAAGCCTCCTGGGGCGCAAGCTTAAAACTAATCTATTAATGTAGTAGACCTTTGTTGTTTGCACTGTCTGGAGGCTGTTACCACCCTCTTCCTCCCCTCTACCCCTTCACTATTATGGTAAAATAATTTCAGTGTTCCTTTGGAAAACTGTCCCAGTAAGTAAGGTAGGGTTGTTTTCAAACTAGACGTCCAGGGTGAAGCCCATAACCCAGGACTTTGTGCCCCTGAATCCGACAGTGTCCTGCTCCTGGAGTTTTTCAATTAAATGAGTACCAAAAAATAGTTGAATTAGATTTCTCTAGTATAAAAGTTCTATTACGGCAAATGTGACAATGTTTTTGATAAACATTACTAAAGAGTATTCTGCTATATATTCACAATCATAATCTCATCCAAATGAGATGAATTTCTTAGTGAAGTAATGACTAATCCCCTTCAAAATGTATTTTTTAAAGTGCATTTTACCTTTCTTTTAGGGAAGATAATTGCCTACCCCTAAGGATTCTCCCCTTAGAAGATAAAATTAGTTCACAAACAGTAAGCACACAGAAAATTCCTTAAGAATGGAGGTTTTGCCTGTAATCCCAGCACTTTGGGAGGCCAAGGCAGGCAGATCACGAGGTCAAGAGATCGAGACCATCCTGACCAACATGGTGAAACCTCGTCTCTACTAAAAATACAAAAATTAGCTGGGCATAGTGGCATGTGCCTGTAGTCCCAGCTACTCGGGAGGCTGAGGCAGCAGAATTGCTTGAACCCGGAAGGCAAGAGGTTGCAGTGAGCCGAGATTGTGCCACTGCACTCCAGCCTGGCACCTGGTGACAAAGTGAGACTCTGTCTCAAAAAAAAAAAAAAAAAAAGAATGGAGGTTTTGTTTTAAACTTCCACATCACAGGTAAATAAATGTCTAATCAACAGACATCCAAAGGTCATGGGAAGGGAAGTGGTTCCAATGGATATTTGGTGTCCCAGAAAAGCCAAGTGACTGTTGCACATGTCCTGTGGATAGCACATAAGTCAAAACTATGTTAGTTTCAAAACAGGCTCTGCAGAAGGATGAACTTCAGACACTTCCCTCTGTTTGATTCAACCAACAGCTCAATCCACAGGAACATGTGCAGTAAACTAAGCTAAGCACTACCCTAGAGAAGGGTCAAGGTCTGAACTCTGCTGTACTAAGGTAAATTACTATTCTGGGAGGGTACAATACATTCAGCATAACAACTAACAGTTAAGCTGGAATAAGAATGGAGAATCACAATGGAGCGAAAGGACTCTGGACTAGGAATTCAGGACCTACCAAAGCTGAAAGAGCTGCTGCGGGTTATTACCCGGCAAATCACTAACATCACTGGAGCCTCAGTTTTCCTAATCCATTAAACGGTTGGTTAATCTAAATGAGGTGTCCTAGACCGCTAGAATCAGTGGCGTATTTTTCCTAGGGGAGGATCTATAATTTGCTGTCCCCCAAAGGGCCGAGAAGAGTTTAATGTGCAGTAAAGGACGCTGGCGGGAGGTGGGGATCGAAGGAGGCTGAGACTCCACCCCACCCCGCGGCCTGCAGCAAGCTCCCGGACTGCCAGGGGAGCGTCCCCCGCCTGGGTGCCCACCTGATTCCCTTGGCCTTCAGGACCAGACGCGTCCTCTCAGCAAACGGGCAGAACCTCATGCTGTAGACGCGGATCAGGCCCTCTGGGACCGGCCCTGGGGGCGCGCTTCCTGCCGGGGAGAAGCGAAGGCGATTAAGGCCCAGGGAGGTGTCGAGACCTCCCGTATCCCGCCTCCCCCGCGTTCCACTGCCGCTCCGGCCAGTTCCCCAGCGGTGGGGCGCTCCCGGGCGGATGGGCTCCCCGACCAGCGGCGAACATGCCGCGGGGGGTGGCCGAGATCACCCCCTCCTCGCGGCGGGCAGGCCTCACCCTTCCCCAGGCTCCTGGCTGACTCCCCGGACATCGTGTCGCAGAGCGGAGCGAGCTCCTCTGAGGTTTGCAGGCGATTCAGGAAGTAGGTCGCCCTCCTTCTCTAGCTCTAAAGTGCTTGCCCCAGGCGGCGGCCAGCTCCACCCAGTCTGCCTTCCCGGCTTAGCCCTTAAAACATCTTTAGGGGCTGTTGCGTTAAAGCGTCTCTCTGGCCAAGAGATGGCGCCACGGGGAGATGCACAAAAGTTCTAAATGCTCGGAGCCAAGCTTCCGCCCCCCAACGAAGGGGTTTCTAGTCCCCCCTCCACGGGGGTTCACGTCTGACCCTGGCCCTGACCTCCCGTGGCACTGACCTCTGAGCACCACCCGCTTGGTCCCGAGGCTTCACGACTTAAGAGCCTGTGGCTCGAGCTCATGGCTCACTCCCTGGTCCAGAGCGTTCTCTCAAGGCTCCTGTTCAGCTTGTGAAGGGAAAATTAAAATCTCTGGACTCCAAATTCACTATGCCAAAGGGAAGTGTCAAGCTTGGAAACTGAGTCAGGTAACAAACACTGCCTCCCGTTTTGTTCCTAAATAGCTACAAAGATAAAAGTCCCAACGGGCTTCCTTACAAAGAAATTCCTTGTGGGCCCCCAGGATCTTTATTCTAAAAGAGATCAGTAGAATTTCTTGTGAAGATAAGTTGGCAATGTAAATTAACAGCTTATCTTCACAAGCACGGGACAAAGACAGGCCCAGGAGTCATGCTTCCTCTTGTTGGAGAAAAATGCATATTTGACTGCTTTGTCTACCCTATATTTAATCTTGTAAAAATGCAGATTCACCAAGCACTAGACGAATGCATAACTGACTCTTCCTCTACAGCCTCCTTTCACATGTCACATGTGCATTCAATTAATGCTGATCAAAGACCCCAAAGAATGCCAACTACCTAACTACCTGCCCTTTTTATCTACCTTCCCTTTTTTCTTTCCTCTTTCCCCTACTGCCTGCTCTTTCCCCTTTAAATATTGAAGTCTTCACGCCCTCTGGAAAGAGCACAGATCACAGATGTCCCTGTGATTTTGTGTTCCTTTTTCTCAGATGTGCCCTCAACCCTGGCAAAATAAACCTCTAAAATGATAGAGACTCACCTTGGTCATTTCCTTTGATTTACAAGCTTGGCTATGGCTCGCTGCAGGTTTGCCCAGCCATCTGGACAGGCCTTTCCTTTTTCTGTCAGTACTAGCTTAACGTGACTACTGGGAGGGCCTCTATCCCTACTGCCACCTGTAGGATACATCCCTTTTCATTTTAACCCGTAGGAGACAGCACAAACCTGGATATTATTAACCTCAGAATAATGGTGCTGCTTTCAAAAATCTCCCACTTACTAAACTTTTGGGTTTTGAAGCCCTGGTAATGTAACTGAGTACTCTCATTTTTCTAAGAGATAGAGAATGAGGTTTTTTTTTAACTATTTGTTTCTCCCATCTTTTCTCTTTCCTTCTTTCTCCCTATTCCCCACTTCCTACTTAGCTCTTTAGAAATGCAATTATCCTTTACCTTCCCTTCACCAGACACTCCCTACAGGGCAAGCTTATCTAACTGAGTGCTTAAAAGCTCCAGAGCAGAACTCTGGCCCACCAGGAGATTGCCTTGAGAGATAACAGTCAATATATATCCAAAAGTATGCTCAGACAAGCCTACTTTACAAAGGACTTCTACCGGGCACCACCCAGTAGATAAAGCACCAAAGTGAGTCCTGCGAACTTCAAACGCCCGCCCACTTGCCCCTTCCCCGGCATGCAGTTCATACCAAGTCCTCCCTTTAAAAGCCCCTGCTTTCTGCCCCAGAAGCGAAGGGGTACCCTTAAAGCAGGAAGCTTGTTTTTCTTCCCCTAAGGTAGCTTTGGAATTAAAAATTACTTTCTTTATACCAGACTTTGCTGTTATTAATAATTGGACTCTGAAAGCGACAAGCAACTGAACATGCATTTCAGTTACAATAAGTGCACAGGCCCAGAATCAAGCAGGTGGGCCGAATGAATTTAGTCTTGGGTCTGTGAATAAAGGTCTGGCCAGAGAATCCTCTCAAACAGCTCTTTTAACTTAGGGGTCAGGAGAGAGGGGTTCCAGGGCCATGATACAGATAAGGAAAAAGATTATTCAAAGATTTCTTTATTGGACTAGATTTGAAAGCTGGTAACTCCTGTGTCATTTTTGGGGTGGGACGGGGGGAGATATCTGTTTTTATTTTGATTAGCCCTATTATGGGAGGAGCAGAGAATTTGGTGAAAAGCACCAAGTCTTGGAGCACCCTGCCTGTTCTGATCCTGGCTCCACCCCTGTAATCAGTTGCTAAGACTAGGGTAACAAAGTACTGCAGAGTGCCTTAAACAACAGAAGTGTATCACCTCACAGTTCTAGAGGCTGCAAGTCCAAGATGAAGGTATCAGCAGGGTTGTTGCCTCCTGAGGACTGTGAGGGAGTCTGTCCATGCCTCTCTCCCAGCTTCTGGTGGTTTGAGGGAATCTTTGGTGTCCCTTGGAGTGGAGAGGCACCATCCCATCTGTGCCTTCATCTTCATTTGCACTCCATTATTCACACTCATTTTAATTTAGTTACATCTGCAAAACCCTATTTCCAAATAAGGTCACGTACTGAGGTACTGGGGATTAGAACATCAATGTATGAAATTGGGGAAGCACAATTCTACCCATAACAACCACTTATTAACTGTGAACATGGGGAAGTCACTAACCTCAGTGTGCTTTAGTTCCCTCACCTGTAAAATAAGATGGAAAAAATGTTATGCCTCCCGTGTAGATGTTTCAGGAAAGGGGTCCTGATCCAGACCAAAAAGAGTTCTTTTGCAGGAAAGAACTCAGGCCAAGTCCACAGTGCAAAACAAAACCAAGTTTATTAAGAAAATAAAGTGGTGAAAGAACAGCTACTCCATAGACAGACTAGGGTGTTCCCGAAAGTAAGAGGACGAATGCATTCACCCCAGATACTTTAAATATACAGGATGAAAAAAAATCATGAGGAGATATGCTCTGCTACAAGGATATGTGATAAAGGATTAATTTTCATACTTACTATGTTTTATAAGAATCAATATTATCTTTAAAGCAAAATTAGGAATCCCTTTGTTCTCAAGATATTGGGATATCTGGACATTCCAAAGTCTGGGTCTGTTTAGTAAACATTATCAATCTGTTCCCTTAACCATAAACATCTAGAGGCTAGGGATACTTAACTTTCTGGGAAAGCAGCCCAGCAAGTCCCAGCCTCATTTTCCTAGCCCTCACTCAGCATGGAGTCACTCTGGTTCAGACATCTCTGACATAGAGTTTGTGGCAAGACTAAATCAGTTGCTATACAGAAAGCACTTAGGGCAGCATTTGGCATAGAATGTGTTAAATAAATGTGATCACTACATATTTTTATTTAATTCAGTAAATAGGCAAAAAATGGATATAAAGTTTTTAAAATTGACCACATTTTTGCTAAAATAGGAGCATTGCTTAACTTTTTTAAAGGAAGTTGACTTTTTAGAAGAACTTTTAGCACATTAATGACTTCATGTCATTATGTAAAATAACCTTGTGAATTTCAACTTGGCAGGGCAAAACCTCTGAATGCCAAAGAAAAAAATTTCACATCAAGGTATTATTTTAAAACTTTTACTTGGAATGGCCTGTCCCCTAATTTAGTATGAATAATATAATGTTTTGTTTTAATGATTTGAAAGATCCAGCTCATCAATAAATAAAGCAAAAGGTTAATTCCTCAAAGAAATAAATTGAAAATATACTCTCCCAGTGAATTACTGTACTATATTACTGGTATACATTATAATAGATCCGCTCCTAGTCCCTTGTGGTTGTGTAAACATCTGAATATACACTTGAGGAAAGAAAAGAACTTTCATCTGAGAAATACAAGCCATTTAAAATTATTAGGCCCAAAGAGACATTAAAATGAGACAGCAGTCATGCCCTACTTCCCGCTTTGAGCTATATATTCACCTCTTGAAACTGCTTGTTACAGCCACAAGTTAAATTAGATTAAATAAATTAACCTAATAATGCCACAGCAAACACTGTAACCTACAGCCTATAGCTTAACAATGTGTAGCCATCTACTAATCAATGTTATTTCTGTAAACCAATGAGAATTCCTAACAAACAACTTTGTGTCAGCCCACTCCCTGAAGCCCTTTTTTGCCTTTGGAAATCCACTTGTAACTGCTGCTAATGAGAGTGTCTATTCAGAGCAACTTGAACCTATACTCCGGGGTTGTAACCTTCAACCTTGGCTCAGATCACTTCTCTAAATGGTATTAATTTTGCTTCACCTTCTTCCTTTTATGTTGACACACTGTTCATAGCCACAGTTAAAAGGAAACAATACATACTTTTTTACAACTACAATTCTTAATAATTAACCTACGAGACTAATCTGAGAGGATTCTGCTGGTTAAAAATCAAGAGTTTGAGGACCCTACGGATACGAAGTTGTTTTCTAAATATCATCTGTCTTCACTTCCTATGTACACCCACTTGATACAACTTTTCTGTGACTTTTCAGGAATATAGCAAACAATATTATACTTTCTGATGTATAATAAATTAACATTTATAAGGTTTTTTATGGAATAAGTTAGGAATATTGAAAGTCACTGTATTAGTCTGTTCTCACACTCCTAATAGAGACATACCCAAGACTGAGTAGTATATAAAGGAGAGAGGTTTAATTGACTCACAGTTCCACATGACTGGGGGAGGCCTCAAAATCAAGGCAGAAGGTGATGGAGGAGCAAAGTCATGTCTTACATGGTGGCAGGCAAGAGAGCTGCAGGGGAACTCCCATTTATAAAACCATCAGAGCATTAACTGGGTGTGGTGGCGTGTGCCTGTAATCCCAGCTACTTGGGAGGCTGAAGCAGGAGAATTGCTGGAACCCTGGAGGTGGAGGTTGCACTGAGCTGAGATTGCATCACTGCACTCTAGCCTGGGTGACAGAGTGAGACTCCGTCTCAAAAAACAAACGAAAAAAAATGAGATCTTGTGAGACTTATTTACTACCACAAAAGCAGTATGAGGGAACTGCCTTCATGACTCGATTAACTTTACCTGACCCCATCCTTGACACATGGGGATTATTACAATTCAAGGTGAGATTTGGGTGGGGGCACAGCCAAACCATATCATTCTGCTGCTGGCCCCTCCCAAATCTCATGTCCTCACATTTCAAAACCAATCATGCCTTCACAGCAGGTCCCCCAAAGTCTTAACTCATTTCAGTATTAATTCAAAAGTCCACCAGTGCAAAGTCTCATCTGAGACAAGGCAAGTCCCTTCACCTATGAGCTTGTAAAATCAAAAGCAAGTTAGTTACTTTCTAGATACAATGGGGATATCAGCATTGGGTAAATACTCTTGATTCAAATTAGAGAAATTGGCCAAAATGAAGGAGCTACAGGTCCCATGCAAGTCCAAAATCCAATGGGGCAGTCAAATAGTATAGCTCCAAAATGATCTCCTTTGACTCCATGTCTCACATCCAAGTCACACTGATGCCAGAGGTGGGCTCCCATGGCCTTGGGTAGCTTCACCCCTGTGGCTTTGCAGGGTACAGCCCCTGTACTGGCTGCTTTCATGGGCTGGCATTGAATGTCTGCAGCTTTGCCAGGAACATGGTACAAGCTGTCAGTGACTCTACCATTCTGTGGTCTGGAGGATGGTGTCCCTCTTCTCACAGCTCCACTAGGCAGTGGCCCAGTGGGGACTCTGTGTGGGGGCTCTAGCCCCACACTTCCCTTCCTCACTGCCCTACCAGAGGTTTTCCATGAGGGCTCTGCCCTTGCAGCACACCTCTGCTTGGACATTGAGGTGTTTCCATACCTTCTCTGAAATCTAGGTGGAAGTTCCCAAACTTCAGTCCTTAACTTCTGTGCATCTCAGCCCCAACACCATGTGGAAGCTGCTACAGCTTGAGGCTTGCACCCTCTGAAGCAATGGCCTGAGCTCTACATTGGCCCCGTGTAGCCACAGCTACAATGCAGGGCACCAAGTCCCAAGACCACAAAGCTGCAGTCCCTGGGCCTGATCCATGAAACCATTTTTCCCTCCTAGGCCTATGGGCCTGTGATGGGAGGGGCTGGTGTGAAGACCTCTGACATGCCCTGGAGACATTTTCCCCACTGTCTTGGCTAATAACACTTGACTCCTCATTACCTATGCAAATTTCTGCAGCAGTCTTTAATTTCCCCTCAGGAAATAGGTTTTTATTTTCTATTACATCATCAGGCTGCAAATTTTCTGAACTTGTATGCACTGCTTCCCTTTTAAACATAAGTTCCAGTTTCAAAAAATATCTTTGTGAATAAATGAAACTGAATGGTTTTAACAGCACCCAAGTCACATCTTGAATGCTTTGCTGCTTAGAAATTTCTTCTGCCAGATGCCCTAAATCATCTCTCTCAATTTAAAAGTTCCACATATCTCTAGGGCAGGGGCAAAATGCTGCCTGAATATTATCTAAAACATAGCAAGAGTCATCTTTATTCCATTTCCCAAAAAATTCTTCATCATCATCCGAGACAACCACATCCTTGACTTGATTGTACATATCACTATCAGCATTTTGGTCAAAGTCATTCAACATGTCTCTTGGAAGTTCCAAACTTTCCCATATCTTCCTGCCTTCTTCTGAGCCCTCCAAACTGTTCCAATCTGTGCCTATTACCTAGTTCCAAAGTTGCTTCCACACTTTTGGGTATCTTTACGGCAGCACCCCACTCTGCCTGTACCAGTTTACTGTATGTTCTCACACTTCCAATAAAGACATAGCTGAGACTGGGTAATTTATAAAGGAAAGAGATTTAATTGACTCATAGTTCCACATGACTGGAGCCTCACAATCATGGCAGAAGGCAGTGGAGCAGCAAAGTTCAGTCTTACATGGTGGCAGGCAAGAGAGCTTGTGCAGGAGAACTTCCATTTATAGAATCATCAGATCTTGTGAGACTTACTACCACAAGAACAGAATAGGGGAAACTGCCTCCATGATTCAATTATCTCCACCTGGCCATGATACATGGAGATTATTATAATTCAAGGTGAGATTTGGATGGGGACACAGCCAAACCATATCAGTCACATTAACAGTTTCACTGTTATTTTAATAAATAATATTTGATATAACTTTTTAAAAAGTTAACGGCCATTATTCTATAAATAGGTTTTTTTTAAAATTAACATTCTGTGACAGTCCATAGCAGAGAAACAGCCTTCATGGAAGGATGATTGAACATGTTAAAAGAAATGATTGAATGCATTAAAATAAAAACTTCAGCCAAATTAAGTTTAAAGGAGTTTAATTGAACAATGAATGATTCATGAATTAGGCAGCTTGCAGAATCACAGCAGATTCATGGTCTGACACCTAAGTCTGATCTCTTAACTGCTACCATATCTCATGGATTCTAAGATTCACATTTCTTCATGTTTAAGTACCTCTAAAAGTTGAGGTTTATCTAAAATTACACCAGGCTATATAATTTTATTTTGGGAGGCTGAGGCAATAGGATTACTTGAGGTCAGGAGTTTGATACCAGCCTGGCAAAAATGTAAAACACAGTCTCTACTAAAATACAAAAATTAGCCAGACATGGTGACACATGCCTGTAATCCCAGCTACTTGGGAGGCTGAGGCAGGAGAATCACTTGAACCCAGGAGGCTGAAGTTTCAGTGAGCCGAGATCACCCCACTGCACTCTAGCCTGGGCAACAGAGTGAGTGACACTTTGTCTCAAAAAAAAGGGAGCTTGAATATAAGAAAAAAATGAGAGGATACTAAAAGTCCATTGAGAGAAGAATGGATAAATAAATGTGGTGTATTCATGTAATGGACAAATGCCCAGCAATGAAAACAAATAGCCTAAACCTATAGTTATCAACTTAAATGACTCTAAGCCTATTGAACCAGATACTGAGTCAAAGATTGATATTGAGCCAGAAAAGCAAGTCACAAAAATATATATAGTATGACTCTAACTGTGTTAACTTTAAAAACATGCAAAGTGTAACAGCACATTAGTTATGGCTCATGCATATGTGGTAGAATTGAAAAGCAGGGAACAATAAACACAGAATTCAGGATGGTGGTTACATCCAGGGGAAAGGAAGGGAGTGGAAAAGGGAGGGTACATGATATAGGTGGGTGCTTCAAGGGTATTGGTTGCCCTCTGTTGCTTCAGCTGGAAGGTGGCTTCTAGAGAATGGCATTGAGGTGGGAAAGGATGAGGTAGGAAGAAATGAGGTGGGGACTGTTGTTATTTAAAAGCTTTCTATACACTCTGATTTTCTACTATTAATATACACTATATTGGGGGAAATTAAGATTTAAGAAACATTTTTAAAAGAACAGGGAAAAACCTACTGTTAAAAGGCAACTATTAAAAGAGATGAAGTAGATCCATATATACTGATGCAAAAACATGCTGGATATACATTGTTAAATAAAAATGTTGTGAAACAGCATGCAGGAGGTAATCCCATCTGTTGTATGTACACGTCCTGCCAGGGATCACCTAAATGTTGTACCTGAAAAGTCTTTAATCCTCACAACAATTCTAAGAATTAATTACTGTTATTAGTACCATTTCAGGGCTGAGGAAACTGGGGGGCAGAGGTTAAGTGATTGTCTCAAGATTAATACCCTTTTGTATAGTGGAGATGGGTTTTCAACTCTGGTCTGACACCTAAGTCTGATCAAGAGATCAGGTAGCAGTTAAGACTGCTGCCCTATCTCATGGATTCTAAGATTCACATTTTCTTCATGTTTAAAAACCTCTAAAAATTGAAGTGTATCTAAGATTACAGCAGGCTATGTAGCAGCCCTGACATAGATGTTATTGCTCTTGCTTGGACTTGCAGGGTAGCTGTCAATGGCTTTGAAAGAAAATCCCAGAGATAATAGAACATTCTTGCTGCATTAAGAAATTAAATGTCTGGCAACAGCCGCCACCCTCACGTGCCCCACTCCCGCTCTGTCTCCAAGAAAAATTTGGCCCCTGCTCAGCCACCGCCCAGGATCTACAAGCTGCGCGCCCACGAGTTTCGGCACCCATTTGGATTTTCACAATCAGAGATGGCAGCAATAAAGGCATCAACGTTGAAAGCTACCAGGCCTTGGTATTCTCATCCGGTATATGCAAGATACTGGCAACATTATCATCAAGCAATGGCTTGGATGCATAGCCACCAGAATGCCTACAGGAAGGCCGTGGAATCTTATTTCAGTGTTCCATGGTACTTCCCTCCTGTACTTCTTCCCCAAAGCTCTTACGATAGCCAAGCTGCATATCCTCAGTCTTTCTATGACAATCATGTGGCCTTGCAGGACTTCCCCTGTAGTTCTTCACATTTCAGAGGGCCTGGGCAGAATCCACATGACAGCAGTAGGATCCAGGCATCCACAAGAGAAGACCAAGCTTTGTCCAAAGAGGAAGAGATGGAGAACGAGTCAGATGCAGAGATAGAATGTGACCTGAGCAATATGGAAATCACCGAAGAGCTCCGCCAATACTTTGCAGAGACCGAGAGGCACAGAGAAGAACGACGGAGGCAGCAGCAGCTGGATGCTGAGCGCCTAGAGAGCTATGTGAACGCTGACCATGACCTGTACTGCAACATCCCCCGGTCGGTAGAGGCCCCAACTGAGAGGCCAGGTGAGCGGCCCCAGGCCGAGATGAAGCGTTTGTATGGGGACAGTGCCACCAAGATCCAGGCCATGGAGGCTGCAGTGCAGTTGAGCTTTGATAAGCACTGTGACCGAAAGCAGCCCAAGTACTGGCCGGTCATCCCCCTGAAGTTCTGAGCTTGGGACACAAGGTCTCCAGCCTCTTCCTCTTTCTTTTGGGTACACGCTCTTCATCTCTCCTTGTGTACATTTCTCAGGGAAAGGGGACTTTGTGCTGAGGTACAGACATGTTCACTACAGTCCCAGTGGGCCTGTCACGGGGTGGATGAACTATGCCAGCCACTTGGAGGTCAGCAGGATGTCTTCTGTTGCCAACATGATAAATCATGATAAATTTTCTCCTGACAAAATAATTTTGTATATATTATGCTGGTTTTTTTATGTTGTCGGTAACAGGTCAACTCGTTAAAGTTCTTGCCTGGAAAAAAAAAAAAAAGAAAAGAAAGAAATTAAATGTTCTTGGCACAGAGGACAATGCTGTGGAATGGATGAGTTGGGAAAATGAATAGAATGCTGATTTTATAAAACTGTTCAAAAGAGCTGGATTCTAAAAATTGAATGAATAATTTACATAACTTATATTTTCCTTTTTATACTTGCACAAAAGTAAGATATAAAAAATCATTTCTAAATAAGCTTAAGAGTTATTTTATCATAAAAATCTGTCTGGGCTTAAAAGAGCTCTTTCAGTAGGCATAAAATAAAAATTCTAGGATTCTGTTGTAATTTAATTGGTAGATTATTTCCTCCTTGTCAGCTGATCTTAGATCTGATGAAATACAATATATCTCCCTCACAGTCCCTCACAGTACTTACTGACATTTTTAAAGAAAAAAAAGGTATTTTATTTAATGTCCAAGAACAAAATACACACACACACACACCTAAAACGGAATTTACACTTAACATTGAGATGCATTCTGAAATTTTCTATTCTGTTCTTTCATTTTAAAGACACACTGGTCGCAACTTACGAACCACTAATACATTCCAACCCAGAATTGCTCTAGGGCACAAATGTGTGTTATAGTTTAAGAGAAATTTACAGTCTTCCATCTTAGAATTAGCTCACAATAGTATCCTATTAACTCAGAAAAAAAAATTTAAAACCTAACATAGTCTTGTTTACCATGTATCCTTCCTAGAGAGGGGGGTGGGGGGGTGGGGGGGGGCGCATTGTTTCAGTGTGTGTGTAAATCACCTTCCTTCCCAGACTCAATAGCTAAGGGGAAATGACTTGCACCTCTGTAACAAGACCACATATCTGTATAGCACATTTTATATGAAAGTCCTTTTATGTACATGATTTTATCTGATCTTCACAACAACCCTGTGAGGGTAGACAGGGAAATAGCAGATTCACTTTACAAAAGAAGTTAAGATTCAGAGAAGTTAAGTGACTTTTCCAGTTATCACATACCTAGTAAGAGGCAGAGACAGAATAAGAACCATGAACTTTAAGGTAGAGGACTTTTTTCGCCATGTCACATAGCCTCTGACAGTATAATCTGAACTCAAATATTGTCACCACTTCATCCTCACTTTCTGATGTTGACTCAAATTTTTGTCATAGAATACAACAAAACATCCACTTCTAAACTTATTGTAATCATCTGATAGGTTCATCTTGCCTACTGCACAGATAAAGCCATTCACTGAGACAGTGATATTGTGGTAGAGAAGAATTATAATTATCACAGGACCAGCTAAGTGGTAGGACAGGAGATAATTCTCAAATCTGCCTCTACAAGAACTCAGCAGCTAGGACTTTTAAGGATAATTTGATGGGTAGCGGGCTAGAGATTGGGTGCTGCCGATTGGTTGGGGATGAAATCATAGGAGTGTACAAACTGTCTTCAAGTGCTGAATCAATTCTGGGTGGGGACCACTGGTTGAGTCAGTTTCTTCATATGAATCATGGGTCTGGGTGGAGTTAGACAGTTACCAGAATGCAGAAGTCTGAAAGATATTTCAAAGACCAGTCTTAGGTTTTGAAAATAGTGATGTCATCTGTAGAAACAATTACAAATCTTATGACCTCTGACTTCATGACTCCTGAACAGTAGGAAATTATAGAAAACAAACTAGGAAATAGTAACTGCTGATTACTGCTTAACTACACCTACATTTTAGTAATTGGGGTAACAGAAAACAATGGTTGGTTATCATTTCACCATGCCCACATTTTAGCAGAATTCAGGTCCCTCCCACAATCCTAATCTTAGGGCTTTTCAATAGTCTTACAAAGGCGGTTTCAGTCCCCAAACAAGGAAGGGGTCAGTGTTAGGGGGAGACTATTACCATCCTTGCTTCAAAGTTAAACTATAAACTACATTCCTCCCATGGTTAGCTTGGCCTACACCCAGGAATGAGTGGGTTCAGCCAGCCTCTGAGGCTAGAAGCAAGATGGATTCAGCCATTCTGGACTCTTTCACTGCCATAATCTTTGCAAAGGCAGTTTTATTGTCATGCCGGGTTTTTACCAGTGAAAAAGGCCACAGAACATGTACTTTTTTGGAAAGTGTTGTCTCTTTGTCTGTAGTCTAAGGAAACACAAGCAATATGAAAAACCCTAAAGGCCAAGGACATTGAAGAAAAGTCGAATGAGAAGATATAAAAGAGAATATGTTGATGGATTCGTGATTTTAAACTAATACTTTTGTGAGAAATTAATAAAGATGACCTTTGAAGCTTTTGAAGAGGATCTTAAGCCTTCATGATGTTATTCAATGTGGAATGTGGATTGATGGTCTTCACACATTTCTTCAGACCATGTCTTCACGCACTTGGTACTTGGTACTTTTCTAATGTGCTATTTTAGCTGATACTTAGGCAACAGTGCAAATTGACTTGTGTTTTTGTTTATTAATTGTCCTTGTGCTTCTTTAGATGGAGTTCATGTTAGAGTCCATAGATATCAGTGTTCTGCAAAACTGGCAATTATCTGGCATCCAAGGCTCCAAGACATCTCACAAGTCCCATGTCCACCACAAACCAAGTACTTCCAAGGAGTAAATTCCTTACTTTTTGTCACTCTGCAATGTATTTTGTCCTTCTTATAAATTTCACTGTTTTCCTTTTGTCATCTCCTATAAAGTCTTCCTCCTATGTTATTTTTTCTTTCACTAAGTACTAGTTTGTCAAACGTACTGTAGTGTTACAGTTAGCCAGGCATGAGCAGGGCAGGAGAGGGGTCTCCCCCTCCCACTAGGAATGTCAGGTGATGGTTGGGCAGTTATCACATTGCCTTTCAAAAAGTGAAAGATTGGCACCTGGAGCCTGGGAGAAGTCATTTCCTGATGGCCCACAATTATTGCACTAATGTGTTCATCGAATGCAGGCACCAGAGAGAAGCAACTCTCTGGGCATATGCATTAAGACACAAAATGGCAGAGTATGACCTTTTAGGGGCACTCCCCCAGAAAAGGGCAGCAAGCCTCAGATGGGCATGTTTACAACTTCCTAAACACACTGTGCATGCTCAATTCCCAAAGGTAAAGAGGGCAATGAATGTGGGCAGCCCACCCCAAGGAAGAAGCATGGGAAAGGGGCCAGCCTATAAAGTCCTAGGATCAAGGTTAAACACTGGGCTTGTTCTTCAAGTCGCATGCTTGGGTCTCTTCCAAATGTACTTTCCTTTATTTCCTGCTCTAAAGTCTTTTAAAATAAACTTCCACTCCTGTTCTGAAACTTGCCTTGGTCTCTTTTTCTGTTTTATGCCCCTCAATCGAATTCTTTTTTCTGAGGAGGCAAGATGTGAGTTGCAGACCTGTTCTCATTTGCCCCCATAACTCAAATACCTTCCACTGGTAAAAATATAGTGCCACCTGGCTGGGCGTGGTGGCTCACATCTGTAATCCCAGCACTTTGGGAGGCCGAGGCAGGCATATTACGAGGTCAAGAGATCACGACCATCCGGGCCAACATGGTGAAACCCCGTCTCTACTAAAAAATACAAAAATTAGCAGGTGGGGTGGTGCGTGCCTGTAGTCCCAGCTACATAGGAGGCTGAGGTAGGAGACTTGCTTGAACCCGGGAGGCAAAGCTTGCAGTGAGCCGAGATAGCGCCATTGCACTCCAGCCTGGTGCCTGGTGACAAAGTGAGACTCTGTCCCCACAAGGTGTGCCCCTGCCATGGGCCCTTTAGAGGGCCCACACCGCTGTCATATGGGATCCACCTCTCCACACTCCCCCAGCATGACTGTGACTCTAAAGATCTGCCATGTGACTTCACATTTGCCCCCGTCCTTAAAACAAAAGACTTCTGTGTTTGGACACTGTGAGGTTTGTGTGTTGCGCCTCTTTCAACATCAGAAATGGAAACTACTTAATGAGTGCAGGGAGGATGTGACTGGTGGGAATACTTGGATAAGATAAAAGATATTGAGCAGGTGTGGTGGCTCATGCCTGTAATCACAACAGTTTTGGAGGCCAAGGCGGGCAGATCACCGGAGGTCAGTAGTTAGAGACCAGGCTGGCCAACATGGTGAAACCCCATCTCTACTAAAAATACACAAAATAAACCAGGGGTAGTTGTGCACACCTGTAATCCCAGCTACTAGGGGGGCTGAAGCAGGAGAATAGGTTGAACCTGGGAGGCGGAGGTTGCAGAGAGCTGAGATTGCACCACTGCACTCCAGCCTGGGTGACAGAGTGAGACTCTGCCTCAAAAAAAGATATTAAGGAATTCGTCGACTCCTTTTTTCAGAGAGCATGAATGTATTCATTCATTCAATATTGCTTTGTGAATAATTAAGTATTATTTCCCAGTACAATCAAGTGACTGTATTTTCTTGCTTCTCTTTGATTCCAACTCATTTTCGTTCCAGGGGTTGTCATGAGTTAGTGTGGTATTGGCAGGAGCTGCACGTGGATGCCAAAGAATGTTTTGCAATATAGAAAAAAAAGTATTAGTTCTACATTTGTATATGTATGTAGATCTAGATGTAGCATGTATGAAGCTTGATACCAATTATTTAGCAACTAGATGAATAACAAATATTAGAATTGCAAATTTTTATATAAAAATATTCAATAAGATTTTATTAAAATTAAAAACATTTGCTTTAAACAATTTTGATTTGATTGAATCTTAAATTTTCAATCTTATATTTGTATTTGACTTTAACATTTTTAAAAACTAATTTAAAAATAATTGAACAAATGATTTATGAGTCTTCATTTATATTTTTGCCTTAGAACTCCAGGTGGGCATGATGCAACAGTCCCTTCTGTCTTGTGAAATAACCTTCTCATTCTTCTTCGTTAAAACATTATTTAAAATCACATGTTCAGGGTATTATTTTCTTGAATGTTGACCTACAAACCCTTTCTGTATTTAACCTAGTGTAGTTATTTCAGCAGCAGGAGTAAGATAAGCATCTTGGGACACAAAATTTAGTCATAAAGCGTTACTCCACAGATACCTCCAAAATATTTGAAGCTTGAAAGTAAAGTCTGAATTTGTAGATTAAATGCACAAAATAATAACATTCAGCCATTTTCACTAAGTGGCCCAGGATCTCCATAACAATGTAGCCTCTTCCCATATTATTTATCCTAAAACTTTTGGAAATTATGAAGGATTTCCTATTTTTTCTCTGTTTTCCCAGAAAAAATGAAAAATTTAAACTAAATGTCCAATTTACCTTGAAATTTACAAGGCTGCTGGAAAGAATAGATCTTTTAAAACAATTTACTACTTGTGTTCAAGTCCATTTGAAACTTCTGAGATGTTGGGCAAAAAATCTTAACTTTCTGAGATTCAATTTTCCTGTCTCTACAATAGGGATTAAATAATACATGTTTTATAAGGATGTACAATGCCAGGCACAGAGGAACAGTTTAATATGAGTTCACTATTATTATACAAACATGCATTGATGTAGTGGCAGAGCAGAGAGGAAACCTGTGCAGAAGACATAGACTTTAGGCCAGATGAATTGGTTCACACTTATAATCCCATCACTCTGGGAGGCGAGGGTCCGAATATCACTTGAGGCCAGGAGTTGAAGACCAGCCTGGGCAACATAGCAAGACCCCATCTCTACAAAAAAAAAGAAAAAGAAATGCATAGACTTTGGGGGCAAGTGAACCCATGATTGAATCCAGTTCTGCCACTAACAAAATGTGTAATCTTGAGTCTCACTCATCTCTCTGAGCCCCAGGTTCCTATGTAGCATGGTTGGTGGGAGGATTCAGACTCTAGGAAGCTCCAAACACATAATTGCAGCTTAGTAAATTGTGGTCACCACTGCTATAAAAGGGGTTAATTGCCACAGTATAACTAGATACTCTCTATTATAACAGGCTATTCCTTTACTTAAAAAACATTTATTATTCACATTTCTTTTTACACAGAGAAACAATGCCAACTTCTTTTTTTGACTTTTCTCATTTCACAAAAAGCAAGTAATTAGCTAATAAACAGGAAATCATTGACTCATCTACTTAATACGTTCTAGTATGCTGTATAATCTTTTCCCATGTTTAAATGGTCATAGAAAACGTAATTAATGCGTGAAAAACTTAGTGAAAGTTCATCTTGCAGATTATCTTGGAATTTGGCTGGAATCCTACAGAAGCCAGGACTGAAATGATCCCTTAGTGGGAAATAAGCATTTTTTTGTTCTGTTGCTAGTTGTGGGCTGGTTTTGGTTTTAGGGCTTGCTCAGTGAATTTAACCACTGCTCTTTTAGCTTTTAAGACAAGCTGAGTTCTACAAAGGTATAAAACCTCACACAGGAGGATTAGGCCTATTCTATCCAAGACTAGGCTGTCGGTGGTGAAGTGGAGATTTGTCAGGGAAGAGAAGATTGGGAGGGGCAGGGCCAGTTTAGGGGAGTTGCGCCCTTCCTAAAAATGGTGGAACACACTGGTTATTACTTTAGGAAACTCAGGACTGCTCCCTGGGTCACTGATAGAAAAAACTTGTGGGGTCTTAGATTTTGTTTCTAATACCCATAAATCTTTCAATGTGAGAACTGGAACTGATTTTCCTGACTTATCCTTCCCAGTCCATTTTCTGGGATGATCCATATTTCCCCTTCCAGACTTTAAAAGAAAAGGCCACTCATCCTTCTGTAACCTGGCACAGTGTAGGGGTCAGGGAATCTCCTGCATATCAGGACATTCTGGTACCCCCAGAAACTCAGCTAGAGACCTCCCTTTCCATCCAAACCATAACACCAAGATTTCAAAAGTAAGATAGACACGAGACTGCCTTTTCATTTCATTCCTTCAGTTCCTCTTTTGCTGTAACACTGGGGAGGTTAGGCTTCCCAGGGTCAGAGAGGATTCCAGGCCAGCATCTCTTTCCCAAAGTCTGTATTTCCTGCCTGCCTTTCCTCCTCTGCCAGTCAGTTACTTTGGTAGCAGGGCAGGACTGGCCTCCTCACATCCTGCTCTAGGGTTGGCATTAAAAACTCCAATAGTCTTTTCATGCCTCTTAGGATAAAGGCCAGAGCTTTCAACTTGTCCTTCACCTGGCCATTGGATCCTTCACCAGCCTCATCTTAAGTATTTTCTTCTTATCTCCCACTGTGCCAATCATACCACCCTTCTCAGTTCATCCAATCTGTGGCCCTGCCTTAATGTCAGACATTGAGGAGACTGACTTAGCAAGTGGTGTTCTTTGCTAAAACTGGATTTTACAAGGAAGGGCACAGACAAGCCTAGGGAAAGGCTCAGGAGGCTGACGAAAGTTTGGCCAAGCAGATAATCTTTGTCACTGGGTGAGGATTCCCAACGTAAGCTTTCATAATATCATGTTTCTTTTCTTCTTATTTCAATCTGTAATTCTATTTGTGTAGTGATGTTGTTACAGGAAAAGTGTCCCGATCCAGACCTCTAGAGAGGGTTGTTGGATCTCATGCAACAGAGAATTTAGGCTGAGTCTGCAGTGCAAAGTGAAAACAAGCTTATTAAGAAGTCAAGGAATAAAAGAATGGCTACTCTATAGATAGAGCAGTGCTGAGGGCTTCTGGTTGCCCATTTTTATGGTTATTTCTTGCTGATATGCTAAACAAGGGGTGGATTATTCATACCTCCCCTTTTTAGACCATGTAGGGTAACTTGTTGACCTTGCCATGGCATTTGTAAACTGTCATGATGCTGGTGAGAGTGTAGCAGTGAGGACGACCAGAGGTCACATCACCATTTTGGTTTTGGTGGGATTTAGCCAGCTCCTTTACTGCAAACTGTTTTATCAGCAAGGTCTTTATGACCTATATTTTGTGCTAACCTCCTGTCTCATCCTGTGACTTAGACTGCCTTAACCATCTGGAAATGTAGCCCAGTAGGTTTCAGCCTCATTTTGCTCAACTCCTATTTAAGATGGAGTTGCTCTGGTTCACACACCTCTGACATTTCCCCCATTCGTTTTATAAGAGAACTCTTAATCCTAACGGTTGTGGAGGGATAAAGATCCATCTTCTGTAACTTCTTTAGGCTAATAGGGGCGATGATATTCCTGCCTAAATATGAAGGTTTCTTGCATTTACGGTAGAGAGGAGCTCAGTCAGAAAGCATCAGTATGGTAAGGTCCATTGAGTTTTGACAAAAGATGATATCTGGAAGATTAATGTGTTTAATTTAAGAAAACATTTACTAAGCTTGTCCTGTATTTCTACACAAAGAGTATAACAGCAATATATTCCATAAGAGTAAAGTGAAATAAGTAAAGTTATTCCAAGTAAACTAAATTAGAAGGCTTTCCATGAACTAGGCAGCTGTTAGAATTAAACTGACATGGGGTTGTACTGAATATAATGTGCACAGAATTAGAATACTGATCCAGATTATTACATTACCCATCCGTCCTCTTGTTTCTTCTGAGCAGCAGTCAGAGATCATTGGTTGGTTCACAGGACTAAGCAGGATTATCCTAAATTGCAGAAACAAACTTAATGAGACTAGAATTTAATAACAAGTGTACCACACACAGTTCTTGAATCATAATATTTCTCTCTCCAGTTTCCCATTTTTACTAAAGACAAATCATGGTAAGATTGATTTGCTTTATTTTACTTGGCCTGATTATTTGTATAAAGTGTAGCAAGAATAATTATTTTTCACATAGGCTCTTTTTAAATTGGCTTTGATGGAATTCTGCTCCATAGAAGAAATCTTAGATAAGACTTTATAAAGCCATGCTTGGCCATGGGTTTTTACCCTCAAATACCTATGAGTTTAGTAAATTTCTGACCTCTTGGGGTCCCAAGATAACTTGGGACTTCTGGATCTGTCAGAAAGTGACATTCTTTACTGACCACAGGTTGGAGATCTTGTACAGGGACTGTTGCAGACAAGATCTGAGGCCAGTTCTCCAAGAAGTTTTTATTGGCTTTATAAGTCAAGTTTGATTCCTTAAAAGAAAGCATACCATTGCAGTTAAAGCCTTGGTAAAACAACTAATTTCTCAAATAATGTCCTGTTACAAAAGAAAACAGATTCTTATTACACTTATACAAATAACTATATTACCATAAATTAAGAATACAAACAAATAGTTTTCAAATTTCAGAAAAGTCAGGTAGAGAGAAACAAATATGCTCTAAATTTTGTTCCCTCGAGTATACTTTACTCAATTGCTAAAAGCTGTAAATATCTCAAAAACAAAGTTTCTTTGACTCTGATATTCATGAACATTCCAGCTTTTCATGAGAGTTCTGAAAGTTGTTTCCTCTATTCTAATGTTACCACTTCCAAAGGTAAACCTGCATGTAGGAATACCTGCTAGAGTTCTACAGTTGAATATAAACCACCTTCTAAAGAGGATTAGAACAAGAAAACAATTGTGGATGATAAAAAGTTTTAGGACAGCCACTATTAAAGCCACAATTGGCCAAGCACAGTGGCTCGTGCCTGTAATCCCAGAACTTTGGGAGGCTGAGGAGGGTGGATCATGAGGTCAGGAGATCGAGACCATCCTGGTTAACACAGTGAAATGCTATCTCTACTAAAAATACAAAAAAATTAGCTGAGTGTGGTGGCATGCCCCTGTAGTCTCAGCTACTCAGGAGGCTGAGGCAGGAGAATAGCTTAAACCTGGGAGGTGGAGGTTGCAGTGAGCCTAGATTGCACCATTGCACTCTAGCCTGGGTGACAGAGCAAGACTTTGTCTCAAAAAACTTCTGTGGCACACAAAATTTTACATAAGAATTATAATTGTTAATAACATATGCTTTCTAGCCTATAGGGCTCCTAAAAAAAAAAAGAATAACATATGCTAAGTCATATTAGAATTATAGGAGTTTCCCATCACTTTGGAACCAGTTACATTTAAGCAAGTATAGTCCAGAGAGAGCAAAACACCATTTCACATTTGGTAATGCTGCCTGTAAGATTTTTATACCAAATAAGCCAAATTTTACCTTTGCATTAATGTACTATTAATGTTAAACCCAATTTTTAATAAAACCTTATAGACATATTTGCCCAATTTTAATGTTTAACCATAAGGTAAGAGACTTATAAACCTTGTATAACCCTTTACATTTTGTGTGTGTGTTTGTGTGTGTGTGTGCACGTGTGTGAAAAAGGAGATCAGTGCTCTAAGAAAAACCTGTACTTTTATCCCGATGTTTAATTTATGGAAAAACTGAATAATACCCCTTTAACTTTAGCCAATATGTTCACACACAGAATCTCTTTCAATTAATTTTTATAAACCTTCCACAACTTGTGAAACCTTTAGTTTTTTTTTTTTACTTAAAACAAGCCATTAACACTTAATTGTAGGTAGAAAAAAATCCACATTCCCATGACTTCTTATAATCTTTCACCAAAAACACATTTTACTTTCTTACATACCTTGCATGTAAAATTGTTTCTTTAGTAGTTTTAATTACATGTTATAACGTTAACTCTTAGCAACTTTTATTTTTGGTGAAAACCTTGGTAAGTTTTTTTTTTTTTTTTTTTTGGTGAACTGGAGTCTCACTCTGCCACCCAGGCTGGAATGCAGTGGTGTGATCTTGGCTCACTGCAACCTCCGCTTCCTGGGTTCAAGCAATTCTCCTGTCTCAGCCTTCTAAGTAGCTGGGACGACACTGGCTAAGTTTTATATTTTTAGTAGAGACAGCATTTCACTGTGTTAGTCAGGATGGTCTCAATCTCCTGACCTCATGATCCACCTGTCTCAGCCTCCCAAAGTGCTGTGATTACATGCTGGGTGAGCCACCATGCCCAGCTGGTAAGAGATTTTAATTGTGTACTAGGTGTGGAGCCTAGCCTAGGACACACCAGGCAAAACTGCAGATGAGGGCTGACTCTCCAGCATAGCTAGGGGCATGGCTAACTCCACATGTCCACAGGCCTCACCCTTACTTAAGCAGACAAGTTGTACAGTAAAAATCACAGTGGCATTTTATGAAGCATTTAGGAGGCCTATCAATCTGTGAACTGTACAACATTTCTTTCATAAAATCCCTTTCACTAATCCTTTCACGACTTAACACAGACCACCTGAGACAATATGCACGTCTAGTCCTACTCTCTGGATCTCAGCAGTTTCTAAGTTTCAAGAAGGAATAAATTTTATGTTTTTCTTTTTTTCCAAGTGACTAAGCATATGTATGAATGCATGGGGGATGCTCTGTAAATATTTGTGAAAAAGAATGGAGAGAGGAAGGGAAAACAGAAAGGAGATACCAAAAGAAGGGAAGGGGAGGGTGGAGAAGAGAAGAGGACTGGAGGGAAAGGAAGGTGAAGGGTAAGGTAAAGGACAGAATCTAAGGGAAGATTTGGGAGAGAAGCACTGACAAGCTGCCGATCATTCAATCAGGTTACTTCCAGAGCAGTCTGCTTACCTGAGGAAGCAGTTATGTAGTAATTAAGTGTTATGTAGTAATTAAGGGCTTGGAGCTGTAAACTGGACGAGACCTGCATTTATGTCCCACTCAGGGCGGGGTGACGTGCGCCTGTAATCCCAGCACTCTGGGAGGCCAAGGCGGGTGGATCACTTGAAGTCAGGAATTTGAGACCAGCCTGGTCAACATGGTGAAACCCCATCTTTACTAAAATACAATAAATTAGCTGGGCGTACAAGAAATTAGGTGGGCATAGTGGCGCACGCCTGTAATCTCAGCTACTTGGAAGGCTGAGGCAGGAGAATCACTTGAACCCTGGAGGTGGAGGTTGCAGTGAGCCGAGATCCAGCCACTGCACTCCAGCCTGGGCACAGAGACCCTGTCTCAAAAGTAAATAAATAAAATAACATAAATATATAAAGTCTCATTCAGCTTTGTAGCCTTGGACAAATTATGTGCTTCTCTTCCTCACTTATCTGTAAGTGGAGCTGATGGGAGATGTGAAGACATTGCAACAATATTTGGCACAGTCAGCACTCAAAATGTATGTCTGTTTAGAAATGTATTTTTTTTTAATTATTATTTCTTTAGAGACAGGTCTCTCTCTGTCACCCAGGCTGGAGTGCTGCGGAGTCATCCCAGCTCACTGAAGCCTGGAACGCTTGATTCTAGCGATCCTCCCACCTCAGTCTCCCAAGTAGCTGGGACTACAGGCACATGCCGCCATGCCCAGCTGATTTTTAAAATTTTTGTAGAGATCGGGGGAAGGTGAAAGGTCTCACTATATTGTCCAAGCTGGTCTTCAACTCCTAGCCTCAAGCGATCCCCCACCCCCCGGGCCTCTGAAAGCACGGAGATTGCCGGCTTAAACCTTACGGCAATTATTGGCCCAGACCTGGGCCGTTGAGGCCCACACTCGGAAGGGCCCGCCTCTCGCTCGGCTTGCCGCTCACCTATTGGTCGAGAGCGGCGGCCCTTCCACCAATCTGCTCGGCCCTGGAGGGAGAAGGCCAAAGCGCAGAGCCAATGGTCGCGGGGCTTACGGTCTCCGGGATACGGGTGTACACAGCCGCGGCGTTGCAGCCCACAGCCAGGCGGCTGAGAAACCGTCACAGACCCGCCCTGGGGTGCTGTGTGCGCTGCCCGCTCCCGCCTGAGGAAAACTGGGCCCATGGCTCAAGGCCGGGAGCGCGACGAAGGCCCCCACTCCACCGGCGGCTCGTCCCTATCCGTGAGGTGCGGCATCAACGACCCCGCCACCGATCTCGGTCTCGCGGAACCTCCTGTCCGACGTCCCTTCCTCCCTTCTCTCCCTCGCGTTCCTTGGGTGGCTCTCCACGCAGCTTCGCCCCCTTCCTCTCCGCCCCCAGTGCCTTCCCGCAGCCTCCCTCCTGGTGTGACCTCCTCTGTGCGCTCCCATCCCCTTGTTCCGTAACCCCGTCCATCAGTTGTCTTTTCCACTCCTTATTCTGCGACCCTGACCCTCGCTCACTTACCCAGCAACGCCCCCTGCACCCTTCACTGGCTCAGGATTCCCGCCAGTGATCCAGATTCCCTGATCACACCCCCTTCCCCCTCCACCCGGGGACAGCCCCGATCCCGTCCTTGCTATCTTTGGTGATTTTCCCCAAAGTTTGGATCCTGAATCCCTTCTAACTCCCATCCACTAGCTTTGGATTTATTTGCATTTATAGTGGTCTTTGAAAAGCATCAAGCACTGCGCGAATATGGGTGGTAATTTTTTTCCTGCATTCTAGCGTGTTCCCCCCGACACTTCCAGCCCCCACCCCCACTCTATACAGCACCCCCTGCTAGTCCTGGGCACTCTAATGTCTCGAGGTTTCTCACCAAACCAGTGTCCTTCACTTGCCTTTTCTACCGTCTTCAAGCAAATCTTTAATATTTAAATAAAAATAGAATCTCCTCCATCTCTCCTTCCTTTTTGCATACACCTAGCATGCACTCCTTAACTAAGGGTTTTTTTTTTTTCTTTTTTTTTTTTTTTTGAGACGGAGTTTCGCTCTTGTTACCCAGGCTGGAGTGCAATGGCGCGATCTCGGCTCACCGCAACCTCCGCCTCCTGGGTTCAAGCAATTCTCCTGCCTCAGCCTCCTGAGTAGCTGGGATTACAGGCACGCACCACCGCGCCCAGCTAATTTTTTGTGTTTTTAGTAGAGACGGGGTTTCACCATGTTGACCAGGATGGTCTTGATCTCTTGGCCTCGTGATCCACCCGCCTCCCAAAGTGCTGGGATTACAGGCATGAGCCACTGCGCCCGGCAACTAAGGGTTTCTTTTGTGTGCTAGCCTTTCACTGACGTCGACTTCATTCTTTTTATTTTCTACATTCCTCTGTATTTCTAGATCTGAAATGTGGCCACATATTCTTCATCTGTGTAAATAAGCAATTTTCCTACTCGGCTTACACACAAAGCAGGCTGTCCTATGCAAAGTTGTTTTTTAAGTTTATTTTTTAAATCTAATTATAAAAGAATTGCAATTCTTTTATAATTCTCATTGAGTAGATCTGGTGTGGGAACCAGATCAAGCTCTTTTCTGTGTTACTTTCACTTTTTGTCTTCCAAGTGTACAAGACCTCAGAAGTCCTTCTGAGACTTTCTCAGGTTTGGTCAGAGAGTTTTCTTTGCTGAAAAAGTTATCTGAAGAAGGCTTGGGAGACCTATGGAACTTTAGGTCTACATTTAAATTTCTATAGTTCATTGACTTAAACGGATCTCACAGCCAGCATGTGTGTTCTTTTATTTTAGAAATCGTTTGGGGGCAGAAAAAGTATGCAAATAGCAATGTTTCAAAGATTTTCATGACCCTTTGCTTTGTTTTTTTTTTTAAAAAAGTATTTGAAATGTATTATATTGATGTTGACATATCTTTTCCCAAAGATGGGTGCAAGGATTCCCTAAGCAGAATGTTCATTTTGTCAACAACAACACCATTTGCTACCCTTGTGGGAATTTTGTAATATTCATTAACATTGAAACAAAGAAAAAGACTGTACTCCAGTGTAGTAATGGAATTGTGGGCGTCGTGGCAACTAACATCCCCTATGAAGTTGTGGCTTTTTCTGACCGGAAGCTAAAACCCCTCATCCACATATACAGCTTTCCTGGATTGACCAGAAGGACCAAATTGAAAGGTATTCTGGAGAACCCTTCCTCTGCCCGTAATTGAAGGATTTTAAGATTTGACGAAATCTAATTATTATAAGTGAAGGTTGAAAGGTTTTTTTTTTTTTTTAAATATACATTTTTAGAGAAAGAAGCTGATCACTGAAGATTTAATTATGTTGGCTAGAACCTTGCTGTTCAAAGTGTGCTCTGTTTACTAGCAACATTGGTGCTACCTGGGAAGCTTGTTATAAATGCAGAAACTTGGCTCCCAAAGCCAGATCTATTCAATCAGAATCTGCATTTTAACAAAATTCCCCAGGTGATTTATATGCACATTAAACTATGAAAAGCACTGGGCTAGAAGACTCTATTACCTTTTTCACAACAGTGATTTTTTTTTCCCTAATATGTATTGAAAATCCAGGTGAATTGATGTTAGTATAATTTCTAAAGATGAGTGTGTGAGCCTCAATTTCCTCATCCATGAAATAGAGGCAAAGATAGTGTCTAATGTGAAGGCTGCGGTAAGGATGATAGATACAATTATATAATATACTGTATATGCATGTATGCCAAGTGCTCAATCAATGTTGCCTACCATTTGACTTACTACATTTTATTTTATTGAGACAGAGTCTGGCTCTATCACCCAGTCTGGAGTGCAGTGGCGTGATCCTGGCTTCACTGCAGCCTCTGCCTCCTGAGTTCAGGTGATTCTTCTGCCTCAGCGTCCCAATTAGCTGGGATTACAGGCGTACACTACCATGCTCAGCTATTTTTTAATATTTTTGGTAGAGGATGGCGTTTTATCATGTTGGCCAGGCTGGTCTGGAACTCCTGGCCTCAAGTGATCCACCCACATCCGCCTCCCAAAGTGCTGGGATTACAGGTGTGAGCCACTGTGCCTGGCCTACTGACGCATTCTTAGATACAGCTGACCCACACTGAGCTACTACACATCTGCTGGAGCCTCTACCTAATGATTCCCTCATTTAACATCCCGTGGGCAGAAAGCTCATGCTTGAAGCTGGACTTAGCTCTGTAGTCTTAAGGGTCAAATAAGTGTTTGGGGGAAGTCAGGGAACTTCAGTATAATTTATAATACTTTGTTTGTGGGGAAATTTACGTTCTCAACAGATTAAGACAACTTTTAAAACATAACCTGGCTGGGCACGGTGGTTCATGCTTGTAATCCCAACACTTTGGGAGGCCGAGGTGGGCGGATCAAGAGATAAAGACCATCCTGGCCAACATGGTGAAACCCCATCTCTACTAAAAATACAAAAATTAGCTGAGCATAGTGGTGCATGCTTGTAGTCCCAGCTACTCAGGAGGCTGCAGCAGGAGAATCACTTGAACCTAGGAAGCAGAGGTTGCAGTGAGCCAAGATTGCACCACTGCACTCCAGCCTGGTGACAGAGCGAGATTCCGCCTCAAAAAACAAAATAAAACAAAAAACAAAAAAATAACCCATTCACAAGTTGGGGAGTATTTAGGTAGTCTGTAACTACCTTTTTTCTTTAAAATTTCCTCAGCTTGGTTATTTGGCTGTAGTTCTGTTTGAGCCAATTGAAATTTAGTTCAAACCATTAGCCAAGAGTCATACTGAATAATGAAGCCCTAAAGGAATTCACAGTAATATTAGAAATAAGTCATCAGACCTGCTATTATCACTGTTATTTAATATCAATCTGGAAGTTCTAGCCAATGGCAACAAAATATAAAACTGAAAAAAAATATATAGCTATGAGAAAGAAGATGATGGATGACGGAATCTACTAACGAAAGAATGCTCAGTAAGATGCTGGTGTTGAGATAAATATGCATGCAGTTTGAAGATATACATACTTAGAAATAATTCAGAAAAATAAGTGTGAGTAACCTAGGTGAAGAAAACTACAAAAATCATTGATTTAAAATATTTAAATATACAGAAATATATGCCTGGATGGAAAGCCTGGTTATTATAAATATATTTCTGAGATTTGTCACAGAAAGTAATTTGTCATATAGGTTTATCATATGTTTTAGACAGCAAGGAGTACTCAAATGATTCAAAACTTCATCTGGGAAAATAAAACAGAATGAGAATAATTTGAAAGAGAAAGATGGCTACACAGAGGGTCATTTTAATATTATGTTGCCATAGTAATTAGGAGTATGGCATTGGTGCAGGGATCACCAGATTGGTGGGAGAGTTGGAAACTCAGGACAGAATCTAAAGTGTTTAAGAGCTGAGTAAATGATGGAGGCCAAAAAGAAGGAGGAAGAGGAGGAGGAAGAAAAAGAGGAGGAAGGAGGACGAAGGAAGAAGAAAAAGAAGAAAAAATGTGTATTATTCAACAGTGGTGTTAAGAAAACTGAATATTTGAACAAAAGTATCAAGTTAGATACTCATGGTCTATATCAAATGAAAATAAGCGTTCAATATAAATAATAGAAATAAATCCACTTGAAAATAGTAGAAAATATGATAGAATAGAGGAGTGATTACAGGAAGGGGAAGAACTTTTCACAAGAAACAAAAACTTAGAAAAGACAGACACATTTGATTACATATATATTTAAAACTGATTAACATTAAAACACCATGAAAAATTAAAAGGGAAATAATAAACAGGAAAATATTTGGAACAAATATGATCAAATATTTTCAGAGCATTAATGAAATAATAAAAACAAGACAAACAGCCTCTTAGAACAATGGAAAAGAAATTAACCCAGACAAATCACTAAACTACAAATGACCAAAGACATCAAATCTATCTCAACAATTGTTTTTAAAAAGTATGGTT